GATTTGCAGTCAATTTCTGTAATCCCCCATTTTTGTTCTGTTTGCGACGACTAACCTGTTCCCCCCGAAAACCATGTGATCGGGGGGATCACCTACGACCTGAACCCCCTGCCAAATTCTCCGACCCTCCCAAGGGATAGATAATGACCATTCGTTGATGGGGCTGTGCCCACCCATAAATAAGAAGATTGGATCGTTACCAAGTTCCGCTGAACGAACAGTTTCACAGTGTTTTTGTAGAGAGCTTCTTTGCCCTCCCGCTATCACACAGTCGGGAAAATAATTCATGTAGAATTTATTTTTGTACGGAAAACCAGGTGCTCAAAATAATGCTTTTAATATTTGCACATGAAATTAAAAAAACTGAAATGAAGACCACATAAAAATTGAATAACAAAAAATGATAATGAAATGGAAAAAATAAAAAAAGATACTATCACTTAGAGTGCGCCTTACGTTTTGTTTCGACTTATCCGCAAGAAAGCGATTAATCCGTTGGATAGCGTTATCTGCCCTTTGAACAACTGAACCTTGGCTCTTAAGCGAGGGGAATTTAACTGTACTGAAAAAAGAACTGCATTCACAGTGTGCCTTCATTAACTTTGCTTCCTCTTTTTAAGCAACATTACTATTCAGGGAAATTTTTGAAGGGTATCCTTCGATCGGAAGCCATGAGTCCTTCTGCAATCTCTTACCAAAATGCATACATAGCATTTTTCGTGTTCGTGAGAAATGTCTTTCTTGTCTTTCCTCTTCAGTTTTAGTTCCAAAGGAACTAACTACATTACACATGTAGTCATTAAGAATGTCACCGAGGAGTACTTTCGCGGAGCCAATCGGAAAAATTTTAAAATTATGATGATGAACTGAACCTTTAAGTTTAACGTTGTGTAGTTGAAGATCGCGGGAAATTCTATCCCCTGAAAATATGAATGGCCTTTACATCCACAGGCGATATAAATCATTCGATCAGTTATATTGTAAATCTAATTTGAAGGCCCTGAAGAAGAAATGTGAGACAAAAAACGACTTTTCGATGCATTTTTGAAAATATCTCCTCCACGTGCGACTCTCCGGTTTTAGAACCGAATAGGGCTAAACTTTGAGTATACAACCTCAGCAGCGGTGTATCAGCGAGCAAATAGGGTAACCTCACAGACATTTGATTACTTTTGTTGCAATTGGTGAGTGTTTCGTTGTACTTCTGTATGTGAGTAGTATAGTGGCACAGGTGAACATTACGCATCCATGAAACGGTGACATGTAATTTGTTACCAGAAGATAAATTCCCTCCTTCATGACGAGAGTATACCAGTGACAGAGTGCGCTTAAACCTGATATCAGAAGAAAACGAAAAAATAAAAGTGAAAAACAACAACAACAAACAAACAAACAAAAAAATAATAAAAAAACTTAAGTATAGGGAAAATATAATCTTGAATTTTCATTTGTGTTTCTTTGATCATGTGTTTGACTTTGCTCCGAGAACTACCGAGTTTTCGACAAATTTCATGCCGCCATGCAGTGACGCAAGTTTCCTTGATGAACTCAAGGACAAAACAGTGTCTGGAAAACGATCAAATCAATTTATTCCGAGTGTTCACCACGAAGAATCAATTGTTTTAAACGGGCGTCTATATACAAACAACATTTTGAAATCTGTTCGCATCAATTCATTTTAATTTTTTTTTTATATGTTTATTTTGTTTTTTTTTTGTTAGCAAAACGTGTTGAAAGGAATTGTGTTATTGAAATGGAAACTAACCTAATCAACATGCTTAGTTATATTGTGCTTTGAGACACTTTGCCTTGTTATCAGCAGCTTTTATCTCAAGCAGCATCGGCTGAAATGTGATAAAATTTGAATTCTGTTATCAAAGATATTTTTTCTATTGGAACGGTGATGTGCACGCAAAATAAAACAAAAAACGAATTGGTGCATCTTAAAAAATTTACCAGAACAGGTGGAAGTTAATGTACTTGATACAATCCACTGTATAAAAAACGCAATTTAACCGCTATTATCATCACCTCAATCTTATTTGGACATTTCAAAAATAGCAAGGGAAATTTGGAAGCCTTTGAAAAAATGAAATATTTCGTTAAATCCCTCGTCTTCTCAAAAAACGCCCACAAGTTATAAAAACTTGTCGCGAGATCCCGAGAATAAATCCCTACAATTTGTGAGAGAAGCATATTTTCAATATTTTTTTTAGGCCGTTGCGGGCGAATGAATTATTAACAACTAAAGTTCTGTAGTTCGTGCAGAAGACTGTTATCTTTATCATGTTCTATCGTGATTGGCAGCATGGAACTGTTTTTGTCTTTATGATCCAGGTGATTGTAGCGTGTTATTGTTTAGCTGAGATTTCGGTGGGATGCAACAAAAGATTCTGTTGTATGCTAACGCTTTCGACAGCAATAACTTAAAAAGTATTCATAAAAGAATTAGGAGTTTCGCTGTTACGCAAGGAACGGTAAGATCATTTTATTTTACTACTTTAATAAGTTTCACTTTCGTATGAGGGGAAATGCAAAGCTGTAATATTAATTATGAATTCTCATCTATTTCTGTTGATATCTCACTTTTTCTCCGTATCGACCTAAAACGTTTCCGTACTTATTTGAAATTGAATTTTCGATGAATGCTTAAAACTGTCAGGATTTTATTACTCTAGAATAGTTTGTAAAGAAATCTGGAAATTTCCTTCGTAAACGTACATGTAGCAGTAACTGGTATTGGGTAATATGCATTTCTCTCGTATAAGTACATAGAGTTTACTTTTAATCTCATAAGTGTACAAAGTAATATATTATTTGGAGAGAAAAGTTTGTCGGTGGTACCGAGTGTGTAATTCAGCTTTGCTCCAATCTACTTTCATTTCTGACTTCAGCCGAATACTCGAAGCGTTTGACCGTTAATAAGTGTATTGTTAGTAAACAATCCACAAATGAGAAAGTCAAAACGTATCCTATAATTGGCCCAATTTACAAATAAAGCTCATCTCAATGCGGATTTAAAAGTGATACTTTTGAAAGACGGTAATGTTTGATCGCAAAACTGCTTAATAAAACTCATCTTCATGGCCTGCTCCTCGGGAAAATGTTGTTGAAAATGTTCGGTTGTACAGTAATTTTGCTATCCTAATTTCATTTTCCTCTCCATTATTGATGACTTTTCTAGAACGCAATACTTCAAACGTTTCTTTAAAGAACCATTCCATCATTAAAGGATTTTCATCAGTCGAGCGAGTCCCTACCATGCACTGAAGCTTATCAATAAAAAGTTCGACATCTGAACAAACTTTATCGTCACTTGGTTTGCTATTGAAAAGTAAAACCGGTTGGAAACTAGTATACCTGAGTAAGAACTGCATCACACAGTTTGCATTTCATATTCTTTCACGTACCCGAGTAACGTTGAAAGTTTGAGTGCCAAAGAAACAGTGGCGATTATTCCAAGCTTTACGACGTTTCCCCTTCTAAACGAAGAAATCAGAAGTATGAAAATTAACTTGAAATTTCTAAAAATTTTTTCGTCAAGATCTATGTTTTTTTTTCAACTATATCAGTCAGTTTTATATGCATTAATTGGAACAGAAAAGTACTCTGATTGCAGTCAAATTAGTTTTAAATCTTATTAACACGCAGTGGAGTTCTCCGTAAATTTTTCATGCTTTAAGGGAAAGCCTGATGATTTCTTCCTTATACTTAAAGACACTTGGTAGACAAAATCGGGGCGCAGTTTCAATCTTACAAGTTATTTCCATTTAGTTGAACAAGAGGAACAAAAGTTTCTCTTTGTTATACACACTTCAATGTGGGAAAAGTGAAGTGTATCTTTGTGAGAAGGAATGTCATTCCAATTTTGAATCTAATTTGTTATCGTTTTTTCAATTATTTCAGAAAATTTCAAGGCGTACACCTCGGTTTGTTGGATGATTATAGAGTCTTTATTAAGGAACTTGCTCTTTGATAATTGATTAAGCAGCAAGAGGTAAAGTCATTTGAGGTTACAGAGAAACCATATGACACACCTTACTATGCAGAATCGAGCTTTATAGGTCTTGTACACAAACAGGGTGGACATATGAATGATCACCTTTAGCTCTCGTAGCAGGTGAGACCCATGACTTGTAGCTCGTTCACTTTTAGCTCTCCTTCCTAGATATTATATACCTGTTATAATGGAATTCAGACCAACCTTGTTAGCCGCCTTCAGTCTTGCCTTAATGTTGGATTTCGTCAAGAGCGAGGATCCAATGTAAGTATTTTTTTGATGTCTTACATATTAAACCTCATCTGCTTTGAGAGGTTTATTTCATTCAAATGTTTTACTTTGCATTTCAGTTGTAAAAACATGATAAGTGTTTCACTTACAAATCCCCTTAACAGTGTGCGTGCACGCTAGTTTTTGAACATAGTAACTCGTCACAGAAAACCCGTCAAGAAAGAAATTTTATCAGCGCACATACGTCTGAGTGTCTGTTTGTTAGTCCACGATCGTTATCTTTCCTTTAGACCAAGGGTAGAAGTGCACTTTGATTCTTCGAAAAAGCGCTTTATCCTTGCAGTTATCATCTCGATCGGGGAAGTTTACAAAATTTTCGTACAGCTGCCGCTCGAAGCAATGCAAGGATTGTGCAAGTTTAGAATAGTCTTGTGCTTAGCTAATTTCTCTACTTCAATCGAGGTGATGAAAACACCCTACATATAACACCACGCCTTCTCTTGTATCTGTTTCAGTTCAAAATAAATCAGCCACCTGCACTCCAAATAAAATAGTTTTTTAAACAGAGAAAACAGCATCTATCTTTAAACGAAAAACCGTAGTCGTCTTCTTTTGGTATTCGTTACAACAATATAAAGTATAAAACCCGATGGATATTTTGTTAAGTGCCATTATCGATAAGAAATTTCGAAAACGCATTTTCCACATATTAAACCTTTTTGCTTTTGTGCGAGGTATTGAATTAACCTATGAGCAAACGGAATTATTTCTCTCAGGGAAAAGTACAAGAAAACGATGGAAGAGGCATACAATTTATCGGTGGCGATCAACAACAATTTGAAGAATTACGATAGAAAGTTGCGGCCTAATGCTGGGGGTAAGCGTTGAATTTGTATTTGAATTTTTAACTTTGAATTAGTACATGGTAGTTTACTTCACCTCGAATATATTCAACCATGCATGCATTTCTCATCTTGTATCTTCGCCCTCTTATTGAAGCTTTCTTGATTTACAAACTGCTGAGAATACAGACAAGTCTTTTGTAAGATTTTAACTCCACATATCATCTGAATTGAGAATAAAATTTATCATTTGCTAAATATTCGTGCAGGAGAGCCGGTCATGGTCCAAGTAGAGTTCAAAGTTATTTCATTCGGTGAAATTAAGGAGGTGAACATGGTGAGTTGTTGTTGACTTTAAAGTTTCTCCATTGAGGATAAGATAGTCTGTTCTGATTGCTACGCGTTGCAATGTCAGTATTATATTTCTGTAGCATTTATCTTCCGCGCCTTTATTTTGCCCTTCCGCCATTTTTGAACTCAGTGGTTCGTCTTTCATAGCATCGGATTACATTGTAAGCAAATCACCGGTCAATGGATATTTTCTAGTATACAACCCAAACTTAAAAATATGCATGAACCACTTTTGTAAAACAGCCTTGAGATAACGTACCTGTATGGTACAAGTTCTTGAGGGTCGGCACAACTTGGGATATCGACTCGTATCGATTTCTTCGACGTAGGATATTCTTTGTTGGTAAGTGGATACCAGTGGAAATCCTGAGCCGTGGAATTTGCTAGTAAAGACAGTTCGTCGCGAAAACATACACAATGCGAGATATACATACCATAAGCAAAAGCAACTTGGTAAGAATTGTCCTCAGAAAGAGATCCATAAGGGGCACTTCTTCTCTCAGCTTTGGTCTCTCTCACTTTCAAGTCATAAAGCAAACAGGCAAACAGAAACTATGTTACACTCCGTTTATTGACCGGCTGTAAGAGAGCACATCAAGAGCTAAAAAACTATATCATGTTTAAGTAATATAGGGCCGAATGACATGTACAAAGGAACTAAACAACGAAAAGTTGATAGAATCAGTAGGTCATTTGACTGAAAATGAAAAAAAAAGGTTAAATAGAATATGATTTTAAAATAGCATCCAAATGTTAATTTATTTTCTATAAATTTTATCAAAGAGGAGCGGTTTCACTTCAAACTACTGATGGTGGTGTTTATAACAAATTTTAGGAGTACAGCATGGACATATTCTTCCGCCAGTGGTGGAAAGATCCCCGAATGAGGCATAATTCTACTACTCCATTTAACATGGCGTTTGACCCAACAAATGTCTTCTGGACACCGGATACTTATTTCTGGAATGTTAAACATGCAAAATATCACTACGTTACCAGAGAAAACATGCGGGTCAGAATTTCTGCAGATGGAGAGATATACTTCAGTACGAGGTGCACATAGAGTTTTTGTTCATTATTTATCAGAACACGTGTTTTTTGTTAAGGGCTATACGTATACATTGTCAAAATTAATTTTGAATTTTTTTGGAAGGCAGTTATTATCGTGTCGAAGGAAGAAGGCAAAGTCTGTTCTTAAGCCCGGTGGCCCTCACTACGTAGCAGCTAATTCCTGTTACCATCGCATGAAGCGGCTGGGATTATTTTTTTCCCAGTGGATAGTGTGCTAGTCCATACATCGAAGCTAAGCCCCTCACGCGGTTTTTTTTTAAGGAGGGGGAGGGAGGGGGTAGATAGGGTTTTTGCAGTTGACTGGTTGTGGGATAATCACAATTTATCCTCAGAGTTGTGTCAGGTTTTCCTGAAAATTTACCAGCATTTTGTTACGCTCTTTATTCACCCTGGGTGAATAAAGTATCTTTCTCAAGAACACAACTTTACGACTTATTAAATTGCAAAGGGCGATTGAAAAGTGACAACATGACGATCTCAGCCAAGGCTTGATGATGTCAATACTTCCAAGACGAGGAGTAGGAAGAGAAAAGTCCAAATTAAAGAAACACGTTTTTCATCACACAAAGGTTCAACTGATGAGATGAAAAGTTGGCTTTTGAGCGCTCTCAGTATAGTCGGTCGGAGCGCAGGAAAACTTTTTATATCCACGTCCAACAAACTCCTTTTTTATTTTCTCTAATATTATGTTCTGTTGCAACACCCAGAGGAAAAAGTTTACTTGGTACAATATCTATGTTATTTGTTTTGTTAGGATAACGATTGTGGCTCAATGTGACATGGATCTGCGCCTGTATCCAATGGATACCCAACACTGTGCATTGAGACTCGAGAGCTGTAAGTATGGAAATGGACCAGGTGCAGAGTAGCGGAAAATTTGCTCCTTAACTTTCGCTACTGCGAAGTGTTTAATTTTTTCCATTTGACAGTCAGACTATTGTTACAGTGCTGAGTTTCTTCTGATGATTTATGTGAATTTTTTTTTTTTACTATTTTGTCCCTTATGGGGCTTATAGCAAACTTCGGGTCGAAATATCAAAGGTAATCACGTAAGATAATTAAGCAAAATGAGTCAGATAGTGAGGAATCGAAAAAATTATAAAAGATAACATTAGACTGCCTTAATCTTAAGGAAACGCGCACACCAGATAGCAAGTGGTTTTCTTTTGTTTCTAAATTGATGAAAGTGTATTCACGAGGCTCAAGCGAAACATATGCAAAAATGCAGTACGAATCTTCCTTTCACCGATTGCAGTTCTCGCCGATTGTGGTTCTAAAAAAATTACCCGGCCAATCCTGTTTCTCTGTTTCTCCTCAGATGCCCACACAGTGGCAGACGTAGACTATAAGTGGAAAATTGGTAAAAATAAAGGGATCGAGATTGTCTCCTCAGAGTTGGCTCAGTTTGATCTTCTTCGCGTTGTGACTGAGAATAAAGCAAGCACTAATAGCAAAGGTGAGATAACACATGTATTCTTGGCGCATATCCCCTTATTACCTTAACTTTTCCCAGTGAGGACCGAGGGGAAGGGGAGGGGGAGGGAGGGTCTAGCCTTCTCAGCTTATCATTGCATCCTCTGCGTGAAATACCCAGCCAGGAAGTCTGCTTCTACCATATGCGAGACAGTGGCTTCTCTTTACCCACCCAAAAATCTCTTTTAGTGCTAAGCTCTAATCTATGACAAACCATTTTCCACTGTTTAACTTATAAAGAAACTAAACTTGTGATATTTGCTCTCTATCCTTAAAAATCTTGAATCGGTATATTGGAATTTTATCAATGGCCGCATGGTTACTTAACGCATATTTGACTCATTCGAATAGGTCTCTATAGTGCCTCACGTATTCCACGAGTAACAAAGTTACTGATCCTCTGTTATTCCTTTTCCACTTCAAACAACTCTGTTATTTCTAACTATTTTAAGTATTTTAAGTATAAAACAGAAGTACACTTAAATGGCGTCCATGGTTTTCTTCGCTCAGGTTCATTTGCCAAATTAGTAGCGGTGTTCTCCTTCAGACGTCGTCTTGATTATTACATTTCATCCGTGTACGTACCGGAAGTCATCTTGGTAGTGTTGTCATGGTGCACGTTTTTCATCACACCCTCAGCTGTTCCGGCAAGAATATCTCTCAGTATCACAACTATTCTGACCACCATCCTACTATCCAGCACCTTAAATTCAAATATTCCAAAGGTAAAACGCACGGAAATTGCTTACTCGGGGCTGTTATTTAACCGTGTTCTGACCCATGCTCATCGAGACGTTGATTTTTACCAACAATGTCAAGTATGCTTATCGCTAGCACGAGAAAAGAATGATTCATCTCAAAAAGATATGCATAAAACATTTCTATGACAATCGTACATCTTTAAATAAACCTCGTTCAATAACTGGCCTTTAGCATCTAGAAGTTAAGCCCTAGAAAATGTTAGATCATACGACCAAGGGTGTGTGTCGGACGAAAGTCGTTCCCAGGCTGTAGTAATTGTTAAACTGTTACTTTTAAATTTTAGGTCAGTTACATGAAAGCCGTAGACTACTTTATGCTAACGTCCTTCGGCTTTATCTTCACGGCTCTGGTGGAATATATTATTGTGCTGAACACCCCTGAGGCATTTTCAGATAGTTTCAACTGCTTCGAGAAAAAGCAGAAGAATGAACCAGTTCAAGTTCAGGTAACTTCTGTTCAATGCTGTCCTTGAAATAACACCAACGAGTTAACTCATTGGCATAAATTCGGGGTCAGACAGTTTTATTGTGATCTTGCGTTACAAACTTCGTCTTACGCAAGCTAGATCCCCGGATTCTTCTTTTGCTGCCGTTTTGAAAAAAGCTTTTATCTAGCACGTGTAAGGAGGAAGGATTGGCACATTTTGTCCTTGTGCATAGTTTATGACCTGTTTAGTAAAAATTGTGCTTATTGCAGGACGGACCAGAGGAGTTGATTCTTAAAATCAATGCCTCCCCGAAGATGCTGGACCTGAGCAAGCCCAGGAAACCTCCTGAAACTAAACCGAGCCCTCCCAAGGATCACTGGGTCGACAAATGTTCCCGTATCCTTTTCCCCGCGTTTTACGCTCTCTTCCTCATGGCATATGTCATACATTACAAGAGAAAAGAGTGAGGGAAGGCTCCTGGGACTGGTCGTCTAATGGAATGTTGTCAGTCCAGGAGTAATTCGTGGTTATCTGTCTTCATAACTATACGGAGTACTCTTTAATTATTTAAACAAATCAGCATTACTTTGCAGTCATATTCGAATCTTACAGCTTACAGTCTTCGCGACGTAAAATGACGCGAAGAATCATTACTGCTACGCGAAAGTTTGAAAGTTTGCATTATCTGTTCATATACATATGATATGCAATATTTATTTTGGTAGCTGAATTGAATTGCGTCGAGGCTTGCGCTCTTGTATGAAAAACTCAGGTAAAAATTGTACGTGCTCTGATGACAAACTGCAGCCTTTGCAAGTGCAAGTGCGACAATGCTAATACAGTGTACAATGAATATATAATTATTGTAATAAAATGATTAGAGTAATATTACTCCTATCAATAAGGAGAAATGTTCGGGAAATCGGCCAGAAAAACTTGAAAATGATGGTTATGGCCGCCGTGAATAGATTATGCAAATTTCAGCTGATCTTAATTAGGCGAGAATGCGACCTTTGGAATCAACGTAAAAAGAGCTGTCGAAGATCTTATTCCTCTCGCAAAGCAACGTTGAAATCCTCCGTTCGTCTTCAATCATAAATATCTTAAATTCAACAACGAACTGCTTCTTTTAAGAGCTTCGAAAAAACCTCTGCCTTTTGGAGAGTGGGAGTTGAAACAATTTTTTTTTCAGTAGCTTAACATATATTTAACACTAGTCTTGGTTTCTCTCGACATTCGTAAAACAGCTTTAAGCCCTTCAATATATTGAAGGACCTCTCCCAAATCAATAGCTCCAAAATAAGCATATACTCCATATACGTAACACTAAATTTACCTACTGAGTGGGTTTATGTGTCCATCGTAATGATGCGGTAAGAACCAAATAAACTAAATTCATATCTGTTATTATCGCTGCCCAAACTCTCCTTATCATGTTATCAATAAGGACTATTTAAACCAAATGATATTTAAAACTTCATCAATCGCAAATCTACTGACTATTGTCGTATTTACAAACCAAGACCGTTGGCTGGCAAATCAATTTTTATTAATGTCATGTTTTTTTTTTTGTTAACATGATAAGAATTCGTGCGCTTTTCTTCAACTGAGCATACTGTAATAATTACATCAGGAAGAAGCCATCTATTTATCATGAATACATATCTTGATTAATGATTCATCTTATAAAGAGTAGAAAGTCTAGGATAGATACTTATTGAAATTGTTTATAAAAGGGTTAAAAAGGCAGGAACAATAATGTCAATTCCTTTACTCGAGGAGATGATTTGGTATTTTATCTTTGCTCTTTTTAAGCTTATCCAGAACACCGTGAACTAAGTGAAACCCCTTTCATCATCTTTCTTCCAGGATGACAATCTACACCATACGTAGAGAGTCTTTTTATCAGCAATGAACTTTTCGGGTACTTTTTTATCATTTAAAGATACGTTTGTCACCAATGATTATTCAAAAAAGAGCTCAGGAGGTAGGATCTATAACATTAATCGCTTTTCTTGAGAAACCCAATTTTCTTTTACATTGAATGAAAAAAATTGGATTCCTTAAGTTAGCCCTGCATCATAAATTATCAGTCCAGGCCCCCTACATCAAAATTGCCTTTTTCTATCAATCCCCCAATATTCTTCTATAAACCATATCAGATTCTCCGTGTTAGACACTAAATTTAAAGTAGGACACTCATCACACGCAAAGAAACTCTTTGTCCCTCGCTTTTAAGAGTTCTAATTGTCTTATCAATTGTAGTGGAAAGAAAGGTAGACGAGCGGATTGGCTAATATCAGTATGATAACTATTCTGATTCCCAATAGAAACCTTAGCCAGGGTGACCAGGGATTTGCTTCGAAATCCAGATGGGAATCTAAGTTTTTCTCAAGAGTGTTTTACCCTAAATTCGTGCTTTTTGAAACTGCATCGTAAAACTCGTTTTTCAAAATCGGCATTGTTTTAATCGGTTGGTTTTTGTGCTTTGTACGTCAAAGTGGGCCGATTCTGATACAGAAGGAATTATCGACTTTTATCTCATATCTACAGTTGTTCAAAAATGAATGGAAAGAAATTTCTTCACATTTTATAGATAAATATCGTTGAAGACTCCACCGTAACTTTCTTGTTGAATTCTCTAGTCCAACACATGTCCCTTGGAGTCGCTCTCCTCCCTGAGCGCACTGTAGTATATGGTGTACGCGACGAGAAATGTGACGTACAAAGTTGGGAAGAGGAATCTTGACAATCGGTCGATCCAGTGCGCCTTAGTTTTTGTTGCTACTGGCGGCGTTAAGGGAAGTTGCTGTTTTGGTTGTGGCTTCAGCTTGATATTTCCCTTGTTATTCCTGATTCTACAAACTCCTTCATCCATCACTTGCACAATCAGATCAACACTTCCCTTGCTGTGTGCCTACAAAGAAGAGAAATCTTTCTTTACACTTTGATCACCGGGATTTTTGGTCATTGGGATTATCACAACCAGGAAATGTGGTGTCAGCTTATATAAAGTGATACATAAAGCGCTATGATTGGATTATATGAGGAAAAAAAACATTTGACGGCCAGAAATACATCGACATGACCAAGCTTTGAAAGCCTTCAAGGCTAGCTCAAGAGTTTCCTTCTACTATTCTTTTAATCCCTTCATAAGGAAATTGTTTCCAGCCACCTGATTGATAAACAGAGCTCATTAGAGACCAAAAAAGCCCACAAATTACTTCAACAAAAAAGTCCACGTTGGAAAGTCTGGGAGTAAAATTACAAAATATTTGAAACTTCCGACAACCTGATCTTACGTAACGAATGATAATAGGAATCCTCTGTACATCTGCCAAACTGAGGGCAATTACAAATTATTCAGCCGTGCCGTAACCGTTCAATAGAGAGATAAGAGAAAATAGTCGTTTTTAAATGATTAAAGTTGAGGATAATCTTTTCTCTCTACCACTTACTTCACATTCCATTGCAATTTCCTTTTTGTCTCCTCTTTTGTCCTTCTTGAACCAGGAAGGTGGAGAAAACACTGGACTGGTGTTGAGGACGATGATGAATTCGATTAAGGCGGCGAAGATGAAGCCAAAAGAGGTCAGCAAGAAATAATCAACGGCTTTCATGTAGCTGACCTTAGGCATGTCTCTGTTAACGTTGCCTTTGAGTAGAATGGAGGTTAAAATAGTGGTGATACTCAAAGCCACTCTGGCAGGAACAGCTGAAGGGGAGATGAAGAAGCAACACCACGACAAAACAACCAGGACTACTGCTGGGACAAATATGGCAGAAACAAAGCTCTCTGTGCGCCGTCGAAATGAAAACACCGCCTTGAGACTTGCGAAGGAACCTAAGAATGTTTGTAGGAAAGAGAGTCGTTTGATACACACTCGGGCTTCGCTACAATTCTCTAAAATTGGTGCATTTCTTCGTTTGGTCTTTAGTCTGTTAGCTAGCATTATTTGGCACAGTGAAGAGAGCCAAACTTAATTACTTAAGCCTCGCCCTCCTATTCAAAGTACTTTTTTTTATCTCCTCATGTCGTTCTCCTCAGGGAACTCGTTGGTGAAATAAACGTTCCAAAGAATAGTTGTTAAACTTGAATTTCTACTTTTCAATTTCTCAAGCGCAAATCAACGTTTTATCTCAACTTTTGCGAATTGGATCACTCCTCGGTCCAGTTCTGAGGATGATCCTATATTTATGTCTTGAAAAGCCCCCTTATCTGTATCATTTTTCGTCCAGTTATGTAAAAGATGTTGTAAGAAAGAATTTGTGAGAGATAAAGTACGGTTAGTCTCACCTTGTTGCCTCGAGTATTATTTATACTATCTAAAAATTACATTAGCCTCAAAATAAAACGAAAAAGAAAACTCTGTACAACGAAGAAAAAGTACAGGAAGAAAGTTTCTAGAGAAACCTCATTATTACACTGGTTTGATACCAAGTGAAGCTCGTTGCTTTTGTTCGTACAGATATGAGAATTACGGCCATTCCACTAAGTTATACCGTCCACTAAATTTTGCTCATGATTTTATCCGCTTTATTTTTAAAACTCACCTTTACTGTTCGTCTGCGACTTGGTGTAAGTTTTAACATCAGTCAGATCAAACTGAGCCATTTCCTTCGACACTATCTCTACACTTTGTTTATCTCCTCCCTTCCAGCGGTAATCAACATCTGCTGTCGTATACGCATCTAGAATGAGACGAAATAAAAAAAAAGTAAAAAGAATCACAGTGGACTTTGGCACAGTCCAGTTGATCTGTACGGATTCGATTCGTATCAGAAGAACTGTAGGACAAATTTCCACATATAACAATTGTCATAAAGAGAGAAATGGCTCGGGAAGCCGCACTAGCATGCAGGAAGTTGCATGTGTTCCAAAATTACTTCGGATTATGTGGTTTGTTAACAAAAAATCTTGTCTTTGGTTGCTGTGCCGTTGAATACTTACAGCTTTCTATGATAAGAGGACAATACTGAGTGTCCATTGGGTAAAGGTGCAAATCCATATCACATTGAGCTGTTAGTGTTATCCTGGGAGAACAATAACAGAAAAGGTCTCAAATAACAATGTTGATCCTTCTGCTCTAAGGAGCGACCCAAAAGTACTTTCTCCTTACAAAATCAGTACAAGTTTATGTAAAAGAGAACTGAGGGGAAAAGAAAGGTATTGACACGGGGACATCATTCGATTAAACTCCAAACTTAAAGGCTAAAATAAAAGTTAATGAAGAGGTTTGGCAGATAGAGCGGGAGTTGAAAGAGTGTATTTAGATCTTGCGATTAAAATTGAGGCGGACATAGAATGAACTTTTTCAAGACTGAAATGAAATAGTTTTGAAACTTTCTCTAAGAAAAAGATGCAGAATCGTCAGATCATCGTTGCTGCGAGTTGGAATTATTTTTCTTTTGTTTTTATTAGTGCAAATTTACCTTGTGCTGTAATAAATCTCCCCATCGGGCGATATTTTCACTCTCATATTCTCTCGGGTGACGAAATGATATTTAGCATCTTTTACATTCCAGAAGTACGTATCTGGAGTCCAGAAAAGCTTTGTGGGATCCGCTGCCATATTGAACGGTTTACTATAATTATTCTTAAACCTTGGATCATGCCACCATTGTCGCATAAAAATGTCCATCGAGTACTCCTAAAAGACAAAGAACGTACACTTCACTTTTCAATCAAGACTTTTTGGGAGCAAGATTTTCTTATTCCCATAAATCATGCTTTTGTTGTATCGAAAAAGCATAAATTGTTCCTTGATTTAAATCAGGAGTGGCTGATGTCATGGTTAGTTACCTGGGGATTTAGTCGCTTTTAGCTTCCTCGGCTTAGGTTTACTTGTTTACTCGGTAAAATGGTGATCAGTTTTCTTCACCTACAGGAATACGTTATATTATAAACTTAACTTAAATGCACGATCTTTGGATCTGCTGTTATGTAATTTAGGCCCTTAAGTCAAAATATGCGACCCTAGTGAGGATAATACAGGCATACCATATTAGCTTCCTTGATTTCTCCAAAGGATATGACTTTAAATTCTATCTTCACGATGACAGGAGGTCCCCCTGCATTTGGCCTGACTTTCTTGTCATAACCGGTTAGACTACGGTTTATCGAGCGCGACAAGTTATAAGCTTCAATCATGCTACTTCTCACTTCGCTTGTAATTCTGAAATCAATAAAAAATAATTTTTCAGGAACATTCTTACCTACGAAGGTAACAATTTATTACACCTGGTCTCAGTGAACCTGATAAAGGACCAAATCCTCTGAGAACTTCAATAATATTTTCCGTAAGCACTGTAGCAAATTTTATAATCCCAAATAGCCTCTAGGAAAGTGTTCTTGTACATTCTGATGATAAATAACTATTAGTTGCGTACATTTCCGTGTTAAGAGAATCAATATTCATTATGCTAATATGCTTAAACTTATTCTTTTAAATAATTGAGTTTGGTATTTTTCATAAGCCTACAGTGTACTATTTAGCTGCTAAACTAATTTTGAGGCGGTGTGGTACTCTGCAAGCATATTTATCTTTGTCATAAAAGCTAATAGAAAACTATTTTATTTTCAAAAACGAGAATTATAGGACGAGGTAGATTCATCCTTAAGACTTACTCTTTACCAAGCCCGTAAGCAACAAGACTGAGGCACATCAGAAGAGCTGCAGCTATTCGAAGACATGAGGTTGCCATCACGGATATGTCACTGCAATGAGTAGAAAGATGTGAACAACCTTTTCTATCAAGCAAATTGTTTGCGTTCGAAATTTCGTTTGTTCAAGTTATATATTAGTTAACTACCTATTTTGGTTATTTTGAAACTTTTCTCATTAGTTTGAAACTCCTAAAAATATTCTTCAGATGGATGAAATGTATTTTCTCGTGTGTAAGCCATTTTTTAACCTTTGTCTTGGCTACGGAGGCAGCTAATGAGCCACTTCGTATGATAGCGTCCCAAATTTTTTCTTTTTGTATTCTGTGGTATTGGGACGAGGGAAATAACTTTTAAGTTTCTTCTTATTTTTCTTTATATAATCCTGAAATTACTTCTAATACTTACATAATTGATTGAACCAGAAAATCAGTCAAGATTTACGGTAACTGTAACAGCAAAGCTTTCCTCATCTATGATTTCTCGGACTAAAAACTATCGATGAATGGGGTATTTTCGTCGTTTCTTCTAATTCTAAATGTTGCCAATTATCAAGGTGAGTATATCCCCTGGAGATATATTTACGTTTTTGTATTTATCTGGAAATTTCCACCTGCTTTTAACCCGCAGCAACGCGGATGGGGTATCTGTGGTCTCCCTTTGAAAACAACTTCCTTTCTTTAACACTTTTGTTGATAATATTGCTTTGTGTTAGATAAGGTATGGTTATAATCGAGCGTTTGGGTGCTGCAGTAATAAATTTAAAATTTATTTTGCTAATGTTATCTTTATTTCTGTCTATGGATATCTTGATAAGAGATAAAACAAAATCGCGGCTACAGGTTTTGAATACGATGCGGGTTTGCGGGATATCAAACAATAACTGTGAGCTTCAGTGTTATTGTTTGGCAATCATGCTAAATGTTTCGTGCACGTCTTGAAAGCGTCTGCTGCGTCTTTTGCTAAAAAAATTGATTTAACGCCAAAAAAAAAAAAAAACATAAAGGCAATTTTAATGACAAGACAAGAACTAACGTGGGGCTAAAAGGTAACATCGATTTCAAGCTGAAAGACAGTGAAGATGAAATATGAAATCAAAGTTCAAAGCCTTTATTAAATACCTGTGAACTTGCTTCTCTCTTTCAGTTCCAAAAACTCATTTCATTTGTTTACAACTCTTTATCAGGCTGGCAACCGTGCTCAGTGCCCGCACAATCCACTATACATTCCAAAACGAAAATAATAGAAAATGACATATCTATCTAAGATTGTTTCTTTCGAATTGAGCACAAAATTACCTCTGTTCTTGATTATGTCAGCTAACTTTAAAACTTGTGCATTTTTTGCTTTTAATTTACTTATATAACACAAGATGAGCCGTTCCATCATTTTTTCATCACAACCTCATCTCAAAAGTGTCCTACATTTGCATCTCCACATCCCCAGCCACACCATGCTGATAAGGCCTAATATGGCCGAAAGAAACGGTTGTCTCTGGCTGCGAACTTGGTGCCTTACGTTGTATATCTCACTCTTTTAAATAGCGGCGTTGAAATACCACCAGCATTGTGGCGTTTCTGTGCATTTTATGGCTCGTCATCATCATCATTTTGTACTTTTTACTTTGGAATAGCTCATGGAGATCTATTTGTTTGGAAGTTTTTAATGATACTAAAAATAAATCCTCTTTGTTTCTCTATTTTCAATCCTTTTTTAACTTCTAGCGCACTCTTTAATAGCTTAATATATATTCTGCGTGAAACTATCTCTAAAATGTAAACCACTTCATTAAAGAAGGGAATTCAATCGATTGACATAAAACAAACACAATAAATTCAACATTGAGAGTTTTCTTCATATATGCAAATTACAATTGTAAGGAAATCTGTTTTCTAGCAAACACAAACCGATTAAATAACTGAAAACACGCTTTAATGTCACATTATGTTCCTGTTGTAAACTGATGACAAATTATTTTTATCTAAATCAAGAAGAAAATAATGCTCAACACAATGAGGCATACTCATTCCGCGAGATTAGCATTTCTGTGCAAAAAGTCTGATACCCAACAGAGACGAAAAAGTTCCAGAAAAATGGATATTTTGAAATGAAAACACTGAAAGTTAGTAGCAAACCTAAGAGTCTTTTAATCGGTGCGTAAATACCTTGACGAAGTCTTAGGCAGATAGAGATGTACCTTATATTCTCAATGCAAGGTTTGCCTCTAGTAAAAATAAGCGTTTTTGGCATAGAAGGTATCCGCAAAATATATTTTGTCTATTTTTAACCTGTCTATTTTAATACGTGTAATGGTTCGGCCACATATATATATGTATAATTCAAACGGTTTTTAACTTGCCTCAGAAATTAGAATATAGTTACTTCTATGTTGGCTAAGCACTGAGGAAACTTAAACGAAGAAATCAAGCAAGTATTTGGCCGCGTACGTTCAGCAATCGCTATGTGGCCCTTGGTTATCTCGGTCGCGAGAAAACATGTCAGTAGTCGTTTGCACCTACATTGCAGATAAATGAAGCAAAATCTACCAAACCATTTAATAGATTTTTAAGAGGATACCGTCATTATTTTCAGTTCTATGTAGAGCCTACTCGCTTATGTTGTTGAATATTCTATCAAATACCGGCTGATTGAAAACAGATTTTAATCAAAGGGGTTGGATTTTTTATTGATAGAGATGAGAACCGACGACGAAAAACATTATATCTAAGGTAATACCCTAAATTAATATTATAGCTTGAAGTTTTGAGATGCGTCTTATATTGTAAACGAACAAAGCAATTATTCATGAAATCCTTACCTCGGTTTCAAGCGCTCAGAGATTTCCTTTTGTAAACCAAAATCTCGCTTCAGTCCGCTTGTGCCAGTCTTTACCGTTTCAAACCATTACTATACAGTTGGACATGATTAACTAATTTCATTTTACCCGAGGAACAGTTTGAGAAGAGCTGTTTGTTGATAAATCTCGTAGAACACTATTAAGCTGGAAGCATCGATAGTGTAGTCTCAGGAGACAGTGAATAATTTATGCGATTCGATAATCGACTCAGCCTACATGATACAAATTCCCCTATCACCTGCAGCTGCTACCGAGTAATACCAATTGGTCTGATATCAAAAATTATTTGTTGGCACGGTGTTATTAAAGTAGAGGGAATGATCCGCAACTTTTTGAGATTATTCAAGTAGCATGAAATAAACTAATTTCAGAAGATTAAAAAGTTTGGTTCACCCATCGTGGCGTTAAACTTTAAGATACTTGTTTCTCAGATGAAGAATGTTTGTCAGCACGGCGTTATCGAAGCAAATAGAAAATGTTTTTTGCAGTTCTTTTAAATATGTTAAGAACGAGAAAATAAATCAATTTCAGAAGATAGAAAATGTTTAAGCTCACCCACCGTGGTGTTAAACCTTAGGACTTTAGTTTCTCAACGATTTCCATTGCTACTGAAGCAATCATTGTTGGTTTCGAACAAACTGGCATGAAATCCATGTATTCATGAAAATTCTCTCGAAAAATTTCTCATTTGTTTAGACGTTGATCGAGCTCAGAGTTTTACTCGAACAATGCACAAAATTAAACGACGCAGCACCATGTGGCTAAAGAGTCTCACGTCATTGTACACACAACGAAACCAAATATATATCAACGTAATCACATGCAAATGAGGTTCGCACACAAAGTCAAGTTTAGTCGGTGCGATCAGGCCTAAATTCTTCAACCAAAAAGATTGATATTACTCTCTTTAAAATTTAAGGAGGTATTTTTCATTAGTTCTCACAAATAAATGTAACAATTTTGCTTACATATGAAGTCAGTTAGGAAGTAAGTCCGTTTTTGAAGAAAAAGAAACGGCGCGGAAATCAATTTTAAGATAATTTATTGTTTTCCACACTTTTTCAGTACATAATTTCTGATTAAAAACTGCAGAATAATTTACAACCTAATTTATATAGAGGAGAAGAAACATTTTCATGTTTTCTTGAATCACTCTGACATTGTGAAAATTGTCAATCGAGTTTAGGTTTTTTTTCCAAATATAAAAATAATATTGTTAAATTTTCAATGCCCTCAACAGTCTTTGTTTCAGTTCAAACCTTACGGCAGTCTACCAGTTCTTAATTGTTATAGATCACATCTTAGCCAAACTGCAATTCAGAAACAGGAGACATGCAGAAAATACGTCGTTTGATTTTGCATAGTCGTGTCTCTTATAGACTGAAATTTCGGGTTAATCAGAAAAATGAAATGAAAACCAATTACATAATAAGCCAAAACAATTTAAATTTTAGAGCAATTATTTTGCAGGTCATATATTACAAAATTCCTGGTATTTTGAGACTAATCAGCCGAATCATATCAAAAATAAACAACTTTCTGAAATTCAAAAAAAAAAAAGGAAAAAAATAAAAACTTAAAGGAAGTTCAGAGTGAGGAATTTGTAAATATTTCTGGTATTAACAGTACTTTTATGCATTTTGTGTTCAGCTACGTAAGAAATGGTTTGTTGCCTAGCGACGCTTTTTTAGTGTTTTATTTCCAAAAACATGTAGATTTGGAAGTCCATTTTTTCAACCTCTGTGTTATCACCAAATATGTATTTTATAGTTTATATTCTTATCATGCATCAAAATTTTTTTGTCCAAATATTCCTTGGAAAGGTACCTTCCAAAGTCAAATAAACGATTTTCACATCAACGACGTAGATAATCGATCTTAAGAAAACGCCAGAAATCATTTTTGTTATTAGCAATCATCTAGCTTGTAAATCATGTTTTAGATAATAATCAATTTATCTCGCTAATAAAAGTATGCCATAACAAACTGTTTTGAATTTTCAGCTTACCTTCGGAGAATTTGAATTGAGCTACATGTAGAGGTCGGCTGTACTTAAAATTTAAAGACGAATGCAAAAAAAAATTTGGTTTCTTTGGTTACTACTCATAATTTTTGGTCAGGTTCATTTGGTGACCAGTAGATATTGAACACTAATTTTTTATGACCCTGTGTCGGACAACAAGTGTTAAGTATTATCAATCATTTAATGGTCACGGTACCAAAAGAGGTCATTCTGCTCTAAAATATACTATTAAGAGAGAAGTTTTTGTTGAAGAAGCTGTTTTAATTTGTTTGCGAAGAAGAGAATGCATATTAAATTGCTTGTAAAAACAATTTCTAAATTTCAACTTTTTTTTGCGGTTTTGTGCTTGTTTTCAACGCACCTGATAAAGGGTTATGTCGAATGAGTTATCTGATCATTGTGCAGGCGTTCTTTATCGTTAGCGTTCAAAGACTTATCTCTGCAAAGGTGAGTGATTCAATCACTCCTTTCACTGACTCCCATCCTGAAGTGATCTCTTTTTTAGTGCTGTGAGCAATGGACCAATCCAAGCTAATCACGGCAAGATTTGAACTTTGGTTAAATATTTACAGCGATGAAATATTTCTTTTTAAACCGAAACAAAACCACTAAAGGAGATAATTTTTCAAATAGTTTGTTTACGTTTAAGTAGAGTGCCTTTAGATCTGCGACAAGATGCTGACGTCGTTTAGCCGATGGAAAACCTGTAAATTTATCGCCTCTTGCTGTGTGTCAAATTAAACCGTATAGCACCTCATTCAATATTTAGTAATACAGAATGCGTTTTAATTTCTTTGGGTCATCATGAAGTAAGTATTTGACACCTTATTTCTTCACTTTACTTGCTCGAGAGAACAACATTTAGTAAGATCACTGTCCTTTTTAAAGTAACTTTATGTGGCACTTCTTATTCATCGGGGGTCCGACAACAGATGTAAGTTATCTTCACTTGTACATTATATTTATTTCAAGGTCTTAAATTCATAAAAAACCATAATATCAACTTGACACTCTAACATCAAAAACTTCACTATTTTGGTTTTTAATATAAGCAATCAATTTTGTACGAAACTCTTGGACCAAATTCTTTATTAAATGATGTCAATGATATGCTCAGACTGAGAATTTGATCGAGCGGAATTTTCTGAATCGATCTAACACGTGACAGGTGGTCTGATTTCAAAAGCTTTTTGTTTGTTGAGATCTGTTTTTAAACTCCGAGATCTGAATGCGGATAATCAGAGTAACAATAATGAATAACGAGACAAAAGATCGGTCATAATCAACTGGCCTTGTCGTGTGTGTATTACCAGCGTGAGACAGTAGCCTTAGCTTTGAACAAACCGAAGTGTTCTTTCTTCCACGTTTGTGTTTTTACCTCTGAACCATTTTTTTAAACCTTTGTATTAGAAGGTGGAAATCTGAAGAAGAGGTACATGTTTTAGGGTAGAGTAAGTGGGGATGGAAATTTATAATCCCCTTTCATAAGCGTTTCCAGAATTTTTGTTGACTTGACGTGTGTTTTCTTCTCTTAGGGACGACAGTGCATCGTACTCAACAAGATTCCTTTGATCAGACGAGACATTGAGCCTTTAGGGAAACACAGGTATATTAAAATATCACTTTTTTCAGTTTTTCTCGTGAAGTAATAAAATAATTTTCTTTTCCATGAAGCTAGCCATGTGAGACAAAAACAAAGTTTTAAGCGGTTTCTTTATCCTTAATTTCTAATCAATTAAATTACATTTTCAAAAAAAGCAAAACAGCGCAGTAAATAACCATTTGGATAATTCCGAATTTGTTGAAGTAGTGGAACCAGTAAGGAAGAAGATATCATTTTTGCACTTACTATTGTATAGAAAAAACAAAATATCTTAGCACACTTTACGAGGAAGCTTTTCCTGTGTGCGATTACCTCATCGTTGAAAAGTGAACGAGAGAAGGTGAAGTATTTGATTACCTCCGGTTCATGGTGATCACATCAACTTGCGTTTTGTTAGAACAAACCTCAATCCGTGATTTGAGACATTTAGGGGTAGTGACAATTCTGTACAGTATTGGATCAAGCTTAAGCACTATGGCGCCTCAATTAATTAACATAAAGGACTTTAGATTTGGAATTATTTTCAACTTTTGAGTCTAGCCGTCGGATAACTTAACATGTTTGTCGTGCTTGTGTTTGATAGACCCTCAAAAAGTTGTGGGTGGGTCGACTCGTTTGAAACATCTGCCTTAGGAGATCTTAGCCAAATTCTTCATGGGGGTAACAGATGAAACTTTATCGACCACGGACCAGGAATTGATTTGAAGTTAATAGAAGTGATAATTCAGGAACAATTGATTTTTGTAAAAGCTTTCAAATTTATTGCAAATTATCTTAGGACCAACAAACCATACGCAGAAAGAAAATTTAAACTTTTGACCTTTTAAAGATAGGTGAGAGATCACGTTCAACAACACTTTACAGGATTAGGAAAAATATAAACCAGGACAATTTATGAAAATCTCTCAACTGAACATACATTTAATTACGATGTAAACCAAGTTAGAAGAATTTTATGAATTTAGCACGAACAATTTCAATTTCAGAAGCCTAACGAATAGTTTCTTATTTTCCATCGCGAGTAATTTATGCAACTCATTTCAAAAGGATTTTTTTTTATCTTCAAGGCCACTATTTGCTACACAGTCACCTTTGACCACTTTATTGGTATAATTTTTGAGTGGCTATCTTATTGTAGTCTGTCGCAAAAATGTTGGGAAAAATCAAAAAAGTTGTTTTCAGAACTTTTCATTCATGGGCTATAGAACCACGAGCACTTTAAATGGTTGAGTTTTGTTTCATTTTGGTACCTGTGCTGTTAAAGGACTAATGTTACAAAAATGATGAAGTGTCTTTTTTCAGTTTTCTTAGCTAAGAGAGAGTCTGCCTTGCTCCTAAATTTAGATTCAGAAGTGCATTGGGTCACAAAACAGCTTCAGTTTTTAAAAATTATCTTGCAAAGTAATTGATTAAAAAAGATTGATGGCTGTCGTCGTCCACCCCCATTTTTAAAAATAATTTTCTTGCCTTCGTCGAAGCGTAGCCAACTTTCCCTTAGAGGAAAGATAGCGACCTTCCAACCACGCAAATGTTTCATATAAAAGATAACAACCTAACCAATCCGATTTTTGGATATTTTAGATTTAACCAAGTCTAAAGTTTCGAAAATTTTTGCGGTATTCTTTGTACTTACTGAATCGATCATAACGCAGTAGCTCTAGATTTTACTTAACTACAAAATTTAACAAATATACGTGGCTAGTTAGGCAAGAATGAGTTAGGAGCAAAGTAAAGTAAAAACTAGAATACCAGGTGTTAGAAGTAAAGCCAAACTTTATAGGCAGTTAGAAACAATTACACAGCAATCTACGAGTTATGACTTTTGCAAAGATTTGAACTTGCTAGGTAAAAAAATTCCACATCATCTTTTCAATTTAAAAACTTAGAATTAAAGCAGTCAAAACAATTAATTATTCTTTGATTTTCATCCACTGCAAAATGTTATTTTTGTGTGGTTTCTGTGGCCGTTGCACAAACTTTCTTCTTTCTTTATCTCTACTTATGGACATTATTTACTGGCTCTGCTGTATCCAATCATACTCTCAAGTCAGTTGAACCTTAAAAAAGGGAGATGCTTACAGCTTTCACAAACACGCTGATATCGACTCAGAACAAGGAGTGGTTAATATTTTGCTTTGTAATAAGGGAGACAAAAAATTAACTGTGTTTCTCCCTGGTTGAGTTTTGAACTGAGAATTTTATTTCTTATTTAACTTCTAAATAAATTAAAAATGTCGCATCGAAGAAAAATTAATGCGAAAAAAAAATGGAAAAAAATTCATGTGATCAGATAAGAATTCCTCATAAAAGAGTACTTGACATCAAAAACTATGTTTACTTACTATTTCTCACCTGAATTTAGAGTGCAAGATCTTCCTCTTACGTATTCTTCAAGACGTCAAACCGTTGCTCAAAAAGGAAGCTCTAACTTTGTTGTTGTTCTGAATCCAGCTGGCTATTTTTTTTTGGCACAGCCGTTGTTGTACGGTAACATACATTCAACCTAGGACCACAATACCGCAACTCACTCGCAAAACGTAAACTTAAGACATTCCGCTTCAGTCTCTGTTGCAGAAGGGTAAAGGTGAACTTGGATTGTTATTCGGCCGTCGGCCACAGTATAACTGTAAAGTGTAACGAGGAAGTTTTAAGAATTAAACCAGAGATAATTTTCGACTTATCTTAATGGAATCTACTCAGAAAGTTGCGATGAAACGATATTGATTTACATCTTCGCTCAGGTCTCAAACCTTTCAGACGGTATGCGGTTTTCACCAAGTAGATGACGGTTATATCAGATCAGAAAAACATTTTCGTAAAATATCCATCAAACCAACTGGGATATTTAGTTAGAGGCCTTATGTTGTCGGGTTCTGGTTATACGGCTTAATTTTCATATTTTTTGTCAAAGTTTCCCTTGCTCTCAATAGGGGAGCCCCTTTTTTGGTCATCATACGATAATAGTCTCTGCATGCCGTCTTGTTTGGTGGTTTCATTTAATTCACAAATCGTTTCTAACATCCCAGAGCGGTAAATTATTTATTTTCCAAAATATCCTTGTGGAACAATGTTCTAATTTCGCGTTGAAATCAGAGCATCACGCAGTTTAAAATCTGAACCTTGATTCTAATCAACCAAGAGGGTCAAGTCTATCCTTAAAATATCCATCAAACCGATTGCAACCGGATGTTTCGTCGACACGTTGTACATTTAATATTGAAGTACACGTCTAAATGTTTTGATTCGCCGTTCGTACTGATTAGAAGTAACTTAATTTTACCGAGAATAGATGCAAAAGAAAATTTTGTTGTACTGTGGGGCGAGAGAGTATTTTGGAAAGATTACACGCTTATCAGTTTCAAAATTGACGCATCTCCTAGAGTCTCTGTATAACTTTATCACTCATATTAGTCATTATTGCAATGCTAGAAAAACTCCTTATAAATTTAGTTGCGGAAATATCCTTTAATTCTCTCTTACTAAAAGTATTTCATAGGAATTATCATCCCTAATAAAAACCTTCCAGTTTATTCTAAGAAGCCGTCCGCAACGACGTGAGAGCTCTTAATTTATGCTAATTCTTCACCGCGAAAGTTTCGGCCGCTGTCCAAGTCGTATAATTAACGGTGTGCTCGAACACTCTCTGTAGTTTCCGTAAACTCAAAGCTGTTTGTAATGCGCGTAGTTAAATGCAACAATGATACTACATGAAAACTGTCAATTTCAGATCGCCTAAGGGTTGAATCTAATTGATGTAATTTCAAGAAATGCTTTTCGCATAAAAATCAGCGTCTACACGCAAACTCGCAGCATTGGTGAGTATTGTTTGATATCTTTTGTGGTATTTGTAGAGAAACATTCTTTATTCTATTTAATCCACGAAATCAATATCACAATAACATGGAACATTTTGTAAATGCAAGTCAGAGTTTATGCTTGGTTTTAAGTCAGTCGTCATAAGGTAGATGTGCCGTTTGAAATTGCTTTTACTGGGTTTTTTCTAAGCCTTTTTCACTTCAGTGTACCTAATTATGTAGTTAGGGTAGAGCTCTACTGTCGCGTTGGATTAGGATAACGTGACTAAACAACTCTTCGGGAATAGTGTCGTTAAGCTTCTTTACTTAAATGTTTATCCAAATAAAGCTAGACTATCCTCGTAGCAGTTTGCATTTTGTGCAGTGTATTCGAATTCACCTAACGTGATTAATATTTTAAAACAATTCAAAAGGCTTTTAAAAGAAAGTCACTCGTGCCGTGTTGTTGTTATGCTTGGGAAGACCAGTCTTCATGAAGTAATCTATTCTTGAGTATTCGACAGATCTTCTCCTATAGAATCTAAGTTATTCTTTTACGATTTCTCATGCAAGAGAGAGCTTTTGTTGCTAGCTCATGGAAATAACATTTTGCTCTCGAAACAAGAATTAAAGTAAAGCTTTAGGCGATATTATTCCTAACTCGAGCTGCTATGGAAAAGGTTGTGTTTGCTGAGAATTTAGTCCACATAAATAATGCACATTTTAAAGCGGATGTGACTGAACGGTTATTTGGTGAAGCAGTTACGAATAAGAATAGGAAGTAGCTGACAAAAAAGGATTCCCTTGTGGCAAACAGCCTTCCATTGTCTCTTTCTGCCAGATACCTTGAGTCTATCATTAATTTTTGTAAAGAATTCCACAGGGTTCCTAATCCCACCTGCCAAAAGAAATGTTCAGTTTTTGTCATATAATATCGGTTTGAAATGATGAAATATAATTTTCTCTGCCTTAACGACAGGTTGCATTTAATGTGTTTTTGAAAAAGGTTGGTTAAAATTAGGTAATGGTACTTCTTTAAGAAATACACTTCTGTGCTTGTCTGGTGTATTTTACTATGATAATTGCAAAAATAACGTAATTTGTTTGGTAAAATTCTAGAATCATTCTTCAAATAACAAACATCATCTTTTTTGCTGCTACTCTACCGGTTTTCGGAAATCACCATGCATTACAGTCCGTGCAGCTCTGGTTGATTGGAAATCTTTTAGGAAGTGTCGCCAACAAAGAAAAAAAAAATTAGCCAATTGAGGACCACCTTACTGCTGGTCGCATACATGTTAAAATGGGAAAACAATGTTTAATTTCCAAAAGCCCTTTCTGTAGAGAGGTTGGGTAGTAGCATTATAAAAGTATCAAACGATCTTGCATCTTGAAAACAGTTATAATTCAAACAACACATGGCGCTCTCGTTTGCCATTTCCAACTTGAGATTGCGAATTTGCTTATGATTTGAGTGTTTACAACGGATGTTTAGGAGGTAACATTTGTTTTGCCGCACTAAACCCTTCTAACTGCCATAATGTCTGCGGTTAAGGCCTTACATGTTTACAAGCACTGATAACTCAATTTTCTGGTACGATTTTAATTTTTGTTGTTTATAAAATGAGGTTATTTTAAGATTTCGTTGATGTAAGAAATGTTTGGAAAGAACTTAGTAGATACAAGGCTTGAATTATCTAATGAAAGTTCGAAAGCCGGAACTCTCTGTAGTGAAGATGGTTTAAATCTTTAAAAAAAGCTTCATGTCCAAGGCAAACTGCCGAATTTTATCAGTCTTGTATGAGTAGAACGGATTGTAAAGCAGTCAAATAATGTAATTCCCCTGTAACTTGGATCTTGTATTGTTTTTCGATCACACTGCCAGAAACCCTTTTGTTTACTCAGATTTGTTAGGAAGATCAGGTTTATTGTGATACCTATATTGTAAATAAAGACCCAACTAGCTTAATAAATAATACCATATGGCATAGGAATATAAGGGTGTTCTACCCAAACCTCTCTGAGCGGCAGGCCAAAGAAAAGCAAAATAATGCTTAAGCTGCGAGAACCGATTTGTATTTTGACTGTTTCACGTGTTTGCGTGCTGGAGCCTACTTTACAAACCACTGAATATATCATAGTTATAACTGGACTTTCCAATTGCCTTGTAGAATCGATTTGAATTTTATTTATCGATTTCGAGTCATTTTCTTTTGAGGAATAAAAGCAACTTCGTTTAAGATGTAGTTTAACGTCATTTGTGTTTTCTGGCAAAAACCCGTTTCTTTAACTACAAAAGACGATTGGGTAAAACTGCCTCAACAATTGCTTGAAAACAATTCCGGATGCCTAGAAGACTCGGTATTAAATTTACTGTGTTGAAAAAGCAGATATCCATTGATCCCAACGAATACGAATGAAATGATTTGCAGTCTTATTTAATATAATAGAGAAATGATCACAATGTTAAGAAAGAAAACACTTCCAAGATGTGTTTCTTAGACCATTAACATTTTACGGAAACCTCTGCGAATCAAGACTCGACACGCTAAGCTGGTGAAAATTTAAAGCCTTTAGTTTAACCACCAAATTCATTACATTGAAAAATTCATCAAGTCGTGGTAAGTTTAATTTTTCAGATTTGCAACCACAGCAAAGAAACCCAAATGCAAACTTGAACTCAAATATTGTATTTTGTCAACATATTCGTTTCACAAAACAGCTTAGCTTTAATCTGAAAAGACAAATCTCGTAAAAGATTCTTCCTTAGATTGGCTTTTTACCAGCAAAGCGATGTTTTAAAAGATCTTCGATCTGCGAGGAAATAAGTTTAAAACTGTATTGGTTCGCTTGCTATTTACTATACTGATTGAGGTAAATCGCTTAGCGCCTTAGGCGTTCGAAACAATGGTTGTGGTGGTGGAAGACACGATTTTCTATCTTCTCTTACGGTGAATAGGAATTACATCTCAATGATACATTACAGATATCGTAGTTATACGCAGTTGGTAAAACGGCCCGTATTTTGTCGTCGTTCCCTACCGTCTAAGTTCGTCAAGGTTTACTGAAAACAGAAAATATGACTCAGGAGGATATTTGCATAATGTGGCAAACAGAAAAGAAGCCAAAACTATCTCGCTGTCGGTCAGACTGTGGTATCTTTCAAAACATTTGAATCATATGGCTTTGAATGCTATTTTTCGACTAAACAGTATAAAAATTCTGTCCAGTGAGCATTTGGGCAATGTCTTTTGTTGACATTCTAGCTTTAAGAAACCTGGTTACCAAGAAGTATACCGCGATATTTTTTTTGCAGTCTCTTAGTGGAATTGCTGTGATGATCCGCTGTGTGTGATGACAATTTTCTTTAACGTTTTGTTATCAAAGCAGGAGTAATTTGCATTTAAGGGTTATCAACAATTTTGCCAATTATGCATGGGTGCTTTTCGCGGTCATCGTGTAAATAAATCGCCAATTGATTTGCGTAAGAAAAATAAGGTTTTTCTACCGTTTTTCCCTCTATTCTTTCTTAAAACATCCTCGTGTTATTTCTTTATGTTAACAGGTCTTTGAAGTCAGGACTTAACATCGACAAACATGAGGTTTCCGTCGACAATATTATTCTGGATGACTTTAGGAAACGCTATTTGGAGATTGGCTGAAGCAGAAGAAGAAAAGTAAGATATTATTTCATTCCGTTAAACTTTTCACACGAGCCCTTACGAAAAGTTATTTTCAAACAGTATTATGTGTAGGAAAATGTTCTGTGTTCCCTGCTGGTATATGATAAGAAAATAACCGACTTATTCGGCCATACATACTTCGCCATTGGGGATAAGAAGGAAAACATAGAGTTATGATATTTCCTCATATCTGATCTGTAAGGAGTACGTTGATTAGCTCTATTGTAAGTAATCACAACCAGTTCCTCTTTTTGCCGACCTCTGCCACAGTTTGCCTTCTCAAGTGCGATGATCTGTTCTTCGTAAATAATATATGTTTGAACGGCATGCAGTATTGATCTTTTTCAAGCTGATATTGTTGTACAGAAAGCCACTAATATTAACCATAGCAAGTGAACAGCAATGCCAGTAAAGGGCAAGACAAATAAAAGTTTTAATGAAGATGAGTTCAAGCGGCTCGGAAAAAACCCTTTATTCTCCTCTCTCACATCGCAACAGGGAATCCAGGCCCTACTTTAAATAAACGAGTTGCACTTAATAGGATAGGAAGTGCAGACGTTTTTAGACGCCGATGGCGATCAAAGTCCCCTTACAGCAATAATACGGGAAGTTCCTGTTTTTGCATTTAAAACGAAATAGCACAAACAAAAGATACCTGTCATGTCCCTGGAAAAGAAAATTTGAACTTCCTGTTACCCTTCTCCTCTCAAAAACATCGTCACAGAAATTCAGTTTCATAATATCCTGCCCACCTACGACTTCAGCCCGATGGCAATTCATATAAAAACGACCGATGCACTAATTAGATGCACCTGATGTCGGCAAAAGATCATTGTCGTGTGCTTACATATGCTGCCATTAAAACAAGATGAAATAGAATAAGTTAAAATCATGTAAAATGAAATAGTATAACAAAATCAGTTAAAAAAAAATGGAGTTGGCATCACCCTTAAAACTTATTTAGATCCAAGAACATTTTATCTCTGTCCTTAACTCTACTATGTGCTGTGATTTAATTTCAAATATGTTGTAAAATTTACCATCTGAATGAGCAAATTAATAATTTGATCGATAATTAGATAGATCCATGAATGATTAAAGGCAAAGTTTTTTAAGGAGCCTTTATTCTTTGTCAAGGGCTCTTATGAGAAATAAATGAATTAAATGATTTTCCGACCTGTTGATGCAACCACAGGCGTCCCAAGCTCACGTGGTGATGCTACCAAATGAGGCATTGATCCTCAAAGGTAAACTTCATTTGACGGAATTACCGAAGAGAAAACGAAGCTTGAAAAAACTGTGGCCTCGATGGAACACCAATAACGTTTACCTTGTCATCATTATGTGTCCAGGTGTTCGAAACACATCTAAGCATGAATTTACTTCAGACTTTTCTTTATGTAATTTCGTAATTGCATTGCCCCTGAAGGGAAAACTTTTTAATTCATTATTTTTACATTTACATATTGAAAGTGACCTCGAGGAGCAACGCATGTTTATGATTTTTTCGCGTTTTCCATGATAGGTCCCTTAAATATTATGAAAAGTCGATGGAAGAGGCCTTACAGCTTGCCAACAAGATAAATGCTGCTTTAGCTGTGCATGACAAGAAGGTTCGACCAAACGCTGGAGGTAAGAAGATAAATCAGGAGACATGTTAATCTTTAAACGAAAATCACTGATAAAATAGATAAGAAAAAAAAAACCCTTCAAACTAGACAGAAGTCGGGGATGCTTCCATAGGCTGTAGTGATTTTTTCCTCCAATCCCGATAAGGGAATGGATGAGCTTATTGATTCAGATGAATAACTCTTAAATTGTAAGACATAGTAACCGATGTTTCTCCATTATACTCTACTGCACACTAAGACTTTCACTGAGCCACATGGACTAATTCTCTCTCTCAGGTCCTCCTGTAATGGTTGATGTAGAATTCAAGATCATTTCGATTGGTGAGATTAAAGAGGCTAGCATGGTAAGAGATAAATCTACTATAGGATGGAAAGGTTTTTGATATCAAAAGAGTGAATTAAGAATTTAGAATATGTAAATTGACGAATAAATTATTTTATCCCCTCTGAAAGGAATACACAATGGATATCTTCTTTCGTCAATGGTGGGTTGATCCAAGGCTGGCGCACAATTTCAGCACTCCTTTCAACATGGCAGGGGACGCTACCAAGTTGATTTGGACACCAGATACATTTTTTTGGAATGTAAAAGCTGCCAAATACCACAAAGTAACAAGGGAGAACATGAGAATCAAAATCCACGGCGATGGAAAAGTGTATTTCAGTACGAGGTAAGACTAAGTTCCGGGCTCAAACAAGTTTCCCAAGAAGGTTATTGGTTTTTTAATATTTCAGTGCTAAAGCTGGTTTTCCTTGTTTTGAATGCAGGATTACCTTTACGGCTCAGTGTGATATGAATCTTCGCTTGTATCCAATGGATATTCAAGTTTGTCCATTGACCATTGAAAGCTGTGAGTAGGATGTTTCAATCTCTAACGACCAGGATGACTTCATCAGTTGCTTTTAATGAATTCTGATTCTCTTAAGAGAAGTGACTGCAATTAAGAACCCGATTGTTGAATAGATGTTGATACACCAATTGTTACTCACCTTTCACTATTCATCACTAGATGCACATACCACAGCTGATGTTGATTATCGATGGAAAGGAGGAAAGTCACAGGGTGTTGAAATCGTCTCTAAAGAAATGGCCCAGTTTGAGTTTGTTGGTGCGAAAACCTCAACCAAAGCAAACACCAATAGTAAAGGTAAGATAGGAAAAGCTAAATATTTTGCGAAATATCGTTGAACCATGAAAATAATCCACATGAAAATTAACATTCTTGGCTTTACGATGAAACTGAGTATTTTGATTTTAGCAGTGATATTTTTTGTTCAAAGACCGGAGGCAAATCCGATGTATTACATTCCTTTCCTCTTCAAACTTGAAATGTATTTAAAAAATTTTGAGAGTACTCCATAGAAAAATAAAATAGGAGAGTTATTGATTCATTGAAAACTGTGCTATCCTTTGTTTTAAGGTTCTTTTGCCAGCCTGCGGGCATTTTTCACATTCAAGCGTCGCGTGTCGTACTTCATCACAGCGACCTACATGCCTGCTATGGTCCTTGTGATCCTCAGCTGGTGTTGCTTCTGGATCACCCGCGCTGCTGTACCAGCCCGAGTCACCCTCTCCATAACAACAATTTTAACCACCATACTACTCTACGGTTCGGTCAATTCTAATATGCCTAAGGTAGTTACTCAGTTGTCAGACAAGTGAATGAATTTGCATCTTCAGCCTAAGGAATGTCGAGGGCGTTAAGCTGTGCCATTGTATTTTAAATACTATCGAATTCAGTATCTTTTTGAAAGTCCTCTTGTTGGAATCAGAAATATTTTTTGTTGTTAACAAGGAAGGGTGTGGTTTGGGTGGTAATCTTGGGTCTGATTTATGAAGGTTAGGCTTGTCGCTGTCTCACCATAGCTCAGATTCTTTTTCTTCTTTTTCTGGATTATTCCGTTTTTCTTTCCCAAAAATAATTCAAAGTGTCAAATTCTAGTTCAACCTTGCTTCAAACAAGCGTTAAAAGCTTTTCAGCTCTTAAGCTCTTCAGTGAGTGAAAAAGCTACTTTATTTTGTGCTTGACAGAAAAATAAAAAACTCTGATGCATACTTCGATAATTTGTTCCAAATTTTATTCCAATTTTTCAACAGGTGAGCTACAGTAAAGCCATTGACTACTTCCTCATGACATCATTGGGATTTATCTTTATGTCACTTCTGGAGTTCATTCTCGTCCTCAACACGGATCCACGCTTCTGGACTCAAAAGCGAAGAGAGCAAAAGGCTGAAAAATTGAAGTCACTTTACAAAGTAATGACCTAAGACAGCTTGTCAATACTGCATTCTGTAAGGCATTGTTAAGTGCTCGGAGGCCATCCATAAGGCCGCCCTATTTGCACCTACTTTAGAGACATACGCTTTAGAGAAATTTGCTCTTTTTTCTTAACCCTTTCACCTGTCAGCTGGAAACGAACGGCATGAAAAAGTTTGAAAGATGAACAAAAGGGTAATTGTAATGCTATACGAATCATTAAAAACGTTAAGTGGAAACTGGAAATAACTGTTTTTAAAAGGATTTGAAATCTTTCACAAAAAGGGACTTGTAGGAAAGCATTTGGGATTGTACATACAGCTAATTGACGCGGTTACTGGTATTTTCGATGGATAGCAGTGCCAACCATGGCAAATGGACAACCACAATTCATTTATTATCATTTAGTCTACTCAGTTTGTCAGAGCTTAATGATGCAAAAGCTAAAACATGGTAAAATGCCAAACCTGACGGCGGCGTCGTGCAAACTATTGCTTCTTCATTTCATTTTTACTTGGCAGAAAAATAACGTAGAAAAGAAAAAATTGGTAATGCAATATCGTTTTATTTATCACTCAGGAAACTCCAGCCGAGACTGTTGTCACGCTCATGGACGGCAAGGCTAAACCAACCGATATTCTTAAGGAAAGCACAGACATGACTCCTCTTAATGGCCCAACCAAAGAACGTGAGAAGGATCCACCAAAGGCACCAGAAGCACCACCAGCTGCCAAGACCCATTGGATCGATTACGTCGCTCGTATTCTTTTCCCCATTGTGTACTTTTCCTTTGTAACCTTCTATTGGATATACTACATTAACCATCCTGAGTCAGCCATGGGTGGAGTTACTGAGTGATGCTCAATCAGTACCTTGTCGGAAGTTGACTTAAAGTTTGTGAGCGTATTATAAACTACATATGGTGTTGTAGCTTTTCTTCTTTCGCTATAACTCATATTAATTCTTTTAGCTGGACTCCGTCACATGAGAAAAGTGCTTAATAATTTGTAAAAAAAGAAAAAACCAATAAGAGCTCTCAAAATATTAGTTCTAACTTCTCTTCAGCCTCAAATTGATTACTAAAAGCAATGTGTTAAATACTAAGCTCAAGGTGAATTTTCACGTTGATATGTGTTTGTAAGGGTGGACTAAAATCACTGGAAAAGAGGGTTATTTGAGGGAGTACGGTCATCTTATCGGTGCGTAATTCAGACTCATATTTGGAGGCAAGTATAAAAGTAGTGGTATGGTCTTTTTTGATAATTTTGGGAAAATTTTGTTTCATAATATGCATATCAAAAGCTGCTTTACGAAGAGGAAATCTGTCTTGCTCTAAGCAATTATCCCAAGAAATTACTTAAGCTTCTCTGTTGTATTTTTCGAGAACTTGAATTCTCCTTGGGGTCGTAGAAACAAAATAAAACAGAAAAGGTCAGCTAAGTCGCGTTTTGTAACTGTTCAGCGCGCGCCTTCCTTATGAATGAACACGCACACACGCTAGAACACAACCTATTTCACTTAGCTTATGTAACAGAACACCTACAGTAGTTACATGACGGTTCCGGATTCTAATAATTTGGTAAACTAATTTTTTTCGCGGTCTATCGAAAGGGAAAATAACACCCACACAAAGACAAACAAGAGTGAAAAACTTGTGGATGCAGCGTGGTATGTTTTCCTTACCAGAAAATAATTTATCATTTGATCACAAGCCTCAGAGGTCGCTAACTCATTCCATGGAATTTTCATTTATAGTACAGCAGAATGATGTCCGGTCGATTGCTAATTTAAGAGGCAAGAAATACAAATCGAGCATTTATAATTAGTGAAGTGGATGTTTTCACATCTTGTCCTTGTTCTGCAAATAGCACGCGTCACTTTAAAAAGAGAGATAGAAAAAGTCAGAGTCTGAGTTAGTGTCAAATTTGGTATTTAATTTAAGTATAATTTATCAAAATGAATCATTTTTAAATATACACGACCGCGATAATATTATTATTAAACGTTAAACGTATTGAATTCGTGGCAATTATTACAGATGTTAAGCTTACAACTTGCAATAAGCGTCATTGTAAAACATTTCCAAACAATTGTTTAATGATTTCAAGAGGAACTTCTAAGGAGAAAAGAAGTCATCTTCGAATTTCCTATTTGGAAAAACTTATTGATCGTTTTAATATTAATGTAAGGACAAAATTCTCACGTTCTTGAACTTTATTAAGAAGACATCGACGTCTGTTCTCTGAAATTGTTAATATGGCAATGTCTTCTTGATAATATGTAAATAAAAAGCTCTTTATTAACAGCTAATAAAAGCTGCGTGACATTTGGTGAATTAAATTGAGAATCTCATTTGAGTGCATCTTATTAAGTACCTAGAAGAAACGACGCAGTTTCATGTTATGTGCATAACGATATTCCTACAGCGTACATGACAAGCATAAATGGGTAAATTTCTGAAGAAACTTTGGTGCTGCGTCGGTGGTAGAGTATAACAAGGTAATTTCGTAAATTGGCCACCGAAAAGAGTTTCAAAGCTCACCTTTCGAGCGTTAGCCCTTTGTAAGAGCGAATGTTACGTTATCAACTAAGTCGATAATACCAAATTACCTTGTTATTAGACAAGCAGTCGATGTTTTTTCAGTGGGGATAGCCTACGGTTGAATTCTCTTAACTTTTCATGCGTTTTTCTCGGGATGTAATAAAATCTCCACACACTGATAAATTGTGGATAAACATCCTGAAAGACCATAAAATCTCGGGGTTATCAAGAAATCCAGATGATCTGGAACAAAATAAAACAAGCGTAGGATGACGCACTAGGAATGCGGAGTAGTAATGCCACAGTGTGCATTGGGAAGCCCCCTCCCCCCTGATTTTGACTTCCTCATTTGGTGTTTAAAGAACGTCGATACGCAGCGACCCTACTGAGTCTTAAGGAATGACCTCAACCTCGTTTTTGTTGCGAGGTTGACTCTGCAAGAACAAAACTCTGCCACCGCGTGATAAAACTATATGAGGTAAGAAACGTGCCAAATCTTGACCTCAGTTATGTAGTAGAGAAAGGTGCCATTTTATTAATCACGAGCATGGGAAAAAAGGGAGCTCTGATCCACCCATGAAAAATCGATATTTTGATCTCTAGCTTCGGTGCTCAAGACTACCAGGTACTCTATGGTGACCTTGGCCAAAACTGGGTTCATATGTCCTTACCAAGCTGGTTTCTGCTCTTCGTCCCTGCTTCAAAGTAATTCAGATTTCAACAAGAGGCACAAACAGTGGACAAAGAACCATGTCGTGGATGTTGTACTGTGCGAAACTAAAATGTTTTCAATTGTCGTATGACCTATGAAGGTCAGAGGAGAATATTCAATACTAGTGATCTAAAAAATCATTTAAAATTGCTCTGTGCTTCAATAAATCTAAAAGGTTAAATGAAGTGGTCGAAAGATAATAATTTTGTGATTAAAAATTTTCAATTCCTCAAAAACTCACAACTGGCTTTTTATTTCCTTTTATGGTAGATGCATTATTATGCGTCTAATTACCTTATGGCATAAATCATAGGTTACACATGTAAACAGCAATAGGTCTTGCATGAAAAATCCATGGGTCATCTATCCTGATGTTCTCGTCAATCCTCTCAGACTACGTTATCTCAGTTCTAAAACTCTAAGAATTACACGCTTACCTTGTTAGTAAGTTACTTTGTTATACTTAAGACGATGACTTGTTGAAGAAGCTCAGACGTGTGGTGAGGGACTTATCAGTGAGCGAACTCGTTAATTTGTTGATACGCGTGTGAGTGCGGGTGTCAACGAGTTACTGAGTCAGTCGGTAAGTTGGTGAGTCAGTGAGTTACAGTTCCGTCAAGTTCCGTGATTGAGTCATTGAGTGACTCAGTGAGCCAATCGGTATGTCAGTGTTTGATTATGTACGAGTATAATTGGTTAGTCAGCCTGTTCTTCAGCTAGTTAGTTAGTTGGCTTATTACTTAGTTATTTGGCTTTTTGATAAAAGTTTGTTATTAAGAGTTATTTTGTGAATTTTCCATTAAATGACAAGTTGATTACTTCACTCTTGGTGAACTACTTCATTACTTTTCTCGTTATTCCCTTAATTAGTAAGCCTGAACAAGTTTGTTAGTTAGTGGGTAATTAAACTTGCTCAGATGTAAGCTGGCAGGATAGAAATTGCAATTAGTCAAAGAAGCTCGGTAGTAAGTTTTTATTCTGTTATCTATAATGCTTGCTATTTTACACATATGGCGTGCACTCAGATGGCTAAAAAGAAGACTTTCGAATTGAATCGTTCAGAATAAATATTTGGGTGCTTCAATTTAGTCCTCTTATGAATAATACTCCTATTGATGGTATTCTGAGTTGGTTTTCGATCATTTGTGTGCAGCTTTCGGACTAAGAATATTTGGGTGGTCACTGCGTTTTTTTTTTTTTTTTTTTCTGTTGAGCTAAGTAACTTGTGAAATTTTAATATGTCGAACGAAGACGCCCATTTTTCACTGAACATTTTCGATTCCTTTGTTATCAGTCCCTGTTCCCAAAAGCAATAAATAATCACTACTGTTAAGAATTAGTCTCAGTTCTAACGAAACATGATTCGGGAGCTCAGCTACAAAATTACTTCATAAAACTCAGCGTTTACTGATCATGAAAGATTACTTGCAATTTTATGCTTTGTTTAAACATTCAGAGAACTTATATTACTTAACAGCGCTTATCGATTAAGAGTGCCCCCAAATTTTCCATGCAAAAAATCATTGTTTAAAAAAAAAAAAACTTGCATCAAATAAATTATGATTAAAAAAAAAAATCTTAAGTCGGTGATTTTTAGAATGGTGCTTGATCTACAAAGTTACGCCAAAACAAAACAAGGAAGGCAATGTAACTGGCTGGGAAGATAATTCGGGAAATTATGTCGACCCAGTGGGAGCTGATTTTTTTCCTCTTTTTAGGCGGGTCTTTATTGATAGGTTTGACCTGAATCTTGCCTTGATGCATTGCACCCGTGTTATCGAATAACATCACTGTAGCTCCTTGGCCTCCGTTAGAGACCACTACTCGCTGAGTAAGTGTGTGACCACACCCTCCCACGTGGCTATTTACTGCGGGTGTACTAGTTTCAGGGGAGTGGCTGATCTCAGCGTCGATGAGTTCTGTATCTGGCTCAGTATTGGAGCTATTCTGTGAAGAAATTGAAAGATTACTTTTTTAAGAAACAAAATTAAGAAAAATACTGTACAATCACATTTAAAAGACTCCCCCTATGGGTTTCAAGCTAGTGATAAACTTGCAAACTAATCAAAGTTCGATGTGCTCGTGTTTGAACGAGGGAAATTAACTAGCTAACTAACATACCAATTAAGCATCTAAACAAACACATAATCAGCCAAGTGACCTAATGAATGACTAACTCAGAACTCAACAAATGCTTAGTTAGTTTACTTTATAATTAACTGATTGACTGACATACTGACGAGCTTACTAATTTACTGAATGGCTAACTAATTAATTATCTAACCTATTGACTTACAAACTGAGAGATTGACTGATAGGTTAACTTACCTTTGAGGTTCGTGAGGCACGAAAATACAAAGGAAATATCACAACATAAGATATATACAGATATATTTTTACCAAAAGGTGATGCTCGACTGAGTCTGACTAGTGGAGAATGGAGATGCAGGTTATTATGCATTTGTTTCCAATCTTACTATGAGAAGAGATCGATTAGAATAAGGCTGCAGCGCCAGTGGCTAAGAAACTACAGACTAATGCATACCTCAAAGATACCAGTCACAACAAGAATCTAATAAAGATTTTTACCTCTTTCTCGCGTACGACATCCATAAGTTTTAGTGGCTGTTTTCCTCTCTATTTGTAAAAAAATATAAGGTATTGTGGTAAACAAAAACATAACTTTTATGTAGTTCGCCGGTAAAAAAAGAACACTTCCAGAAATGAATAAAGTACATGATTAAGAGCAAGAAAACTAGTTGAGTTGATATAAAAATTTGGTGATATTACCTTTTTGGGTCGTAATCTCAGGCACACCAAGAGACATTGTAGCCATTTAGGGTCAGGATCAGTGTTCAATACAATCACAAACTCCAGAAATGAAAGGAAAATGAACCCAAAGCTGACTAGTAAGAAATAGTCTTGAGCCTTACTGTAACTGACTGGTGGCATGGCTTCGTTCACTGAGCCGCAAAGCACGATGGCTGTAAGAATTATTGTGATACCCAGTGACGCACGTGCGGGAACAGCATCACGGGAAATCCAGAAACAGCACCATGAGAGCATGACAAGAGTCACTCCTGGAGAGAAAACCGAAGAAACGAAATATTCCAGACGGCGTTTGAACGAGAATATAACGCTCAGACCGGCGAACGAACCTGCATGTCAAAATGGAAAAAATACCACACGATGTAGTAAGAATTACGCATTCAAAATCAATGATTTCAAATGCAAACGAGGGATCACCGTGATTTTGTTTTCATAGCTGTTCAGAGGGGGATCTACGAGTCTCTTGTGATCCGCCATTGTTACGTCACACCACCTCGTCAATTCGAGGAAATTTATCCGAAAGAAAGGAGAGGAACTTAACTAAAAATTCATCAGCTTGATACCTTTGCTGTTCTTTGTGTCTCTTAGTTTCGTGTCTATGCCAGCCAACTCAAACTGAGCCATCTCTTGGGAAACAATTTCGATCCCTTTTCCTTTGTTTGCGACAGTTTTTCTCCATTTATAATCCACGTCATCAGTAGTATGAGCATCTGAAATGATAAGTAAATCAGTCAAACGATGAGGCATACTCATTAATTTCTCCAGCATTGCAAATTGTACTATTTCTAGAGTGTGATTGGTTAAGCAAAGAGAAACTGGAGAAAGATAATTACAATTTTAAAAAACGCAAGAGGGAGTCCTCGGTAAATATTTGGACTTCAAACCTCAAATCTCTCGATAGGATTCACCCTAAAAACATTGCGGTGAAGAGGGCTTGTTAGAAGCCTGGCTGTAAAATTATGCTGAGTTCTCAAACGATGTTACTTCTCCGAAATCGAAGTGAATATTCTCTAAAGAAGTAAATTTCAGAAAGAATAGGGCATTCTTCTGCTTTTTATTCATTTCTCAGTTTGACTGAAAAAAAATTGAAGTAATCTGTAAATAATCTTTGTAATGTTTGCAAAACAAGATCAGACCACTCCAACTTTGATATCGAGTTACAGACGTACTCACAGCTTTCAATGATCAGAGGACAGTGTTGGGTATCCATTGGGTAAAGTCGGAAGTCCATGTCACATTGCGCCGTCAAGGTTATTCTGCAAAGAAAATGGAAACAGATATCACCAAAAGGTATTGAGAATATTTTGTTTGTCATTTTAGTTGCTTTGGCTAATAGAACATTGCATCTGAGGGCTCAAAATAATTTCTAAGAACATATCACTTTTGGCCTCCGTGAGGTACGTACTGGAGCGGAAGAAATATCCCCTTACATAATTATTCCGTATGTCGTATTGTAGCTATTATCACAATTTACCCCACTTTACTCTTCAAAAATTCAATAATTATTCAAAATATTTCCTGAAATTAGAAGTACTAGACTAAATTACTCCTTCGCTTCCACCAGTTGGAATTTATTCGCCAAAATTTAAGCCTGCCCATCATTATTCTCGTGAATATCATATAGCTTCTAAGGTTCAAGTTTACGGACGAAAAACATTTGCATCACCTTGCGCTGAAGTATATTTTCCCTGTGGAGTAAATCATGACTCGCATGTTCTCGCGAGTGACATAATGGTACTTTATTCTTTTTACATTAAAGAAATATGTGTCCGGAGTCCAGAAGAGCTTGGAAGGATCTCCTGCCATGTTAAATGGTGTGCTAGAATTATGCCTGAACCTTGGATCGTACCACCACTGGCGGAAGAAAATGTCCATCGAATAATCCTGGTTTTTAAAGAAATGAAAGCTAATCAGAAGTCCAAGTAAAATTGGTTTACTACTATGGCAATGATGTAGCTATGAGTTGTCGCTAGTAATTGCGTGAACATTGGGTTTGTCAAGGAAAGGTGACTATGATTATTAATAGAAACATCTTTGCATGGGCTCAGTTGTCACTGCTATACTGGAGTAGAGCACCCTGGGGAATATTCTCTACGCCTAGTTGTATGTCTTCTCCCGATTAACAATGATCTTCAATCTTCATTGTAGAATCTCCATAAGGTGTGAGTTGATAGATTTTTAATTTAGATGACTCAGCGTCGGTTGATTGAGTTACTATTCACTTATCTTCACTCTTCGTTGTCACTCAAAAACTATCTCAGTAAAACAACTGAGGTAGGCTACTGCATGCTATAAAGTGCAATCCCTTGGGACTTGCCATGGAAGACAGCACTCAACAGATAGTTGAGAGCCTCACACCAAACAAATAAATATAACATCTTTAGTACCATGTTTGCCTCGTTTAGCTCTCCAAAGGAAACAACTTTGATCTCCACGGTGATTTCAACAGGTTCACCTATTGAAAAGTAAACCAAAGAAAGAATTTGTTATATGAAGTGCACCCTCAAGGAACAATGGATAAATTAAGTGAAGGTGGTTTAGAATGTGTCGGGATAGGGATGCTTTGAACAGAAAAGCCTTCCTGTTTTCTACCCGAGAGTATTAGTTAAACAATAGCTCAGAGTTGGTGTCCAAACATTGACAGACGGTAGAAATGCATTTGTGAATTCTATGGTTTGGTAAAGGAATGGAAAATCAAGGAACTCTGGTATTATAAATATAAATGCTAACGTTAGCAATTCGTGCCGTAGCTGATTTGATTGCAGTTAGATGCATTTATGATTTCTTAAGCAGCTTACCTCCGGCATTAGGGCGGAGTTTAGGGTCATAATTGGCTAGTATTTCATTAATGGTGGAAGATAAATTGGCAGCCTCTTCCTTGCCACGTACCCAGTCTTCATCCTCCTCTAAAGACCTGTTTTATGAGACATCTAATAATTTAAGATGTAACAAGTATATATCAAAGCACGCGTTATATAAAACATTCTGAACGTAAGTAGATATACTTAGTACCTAATTCTCTAACAGCTGAAGCCAGTGTCTAGAAAACACGTTGGTTCTTATCGTCAGTGTATTTTATAGTTCTGTGAACATTTTTTGGACAAGTTGCAGGCGTCAGTTGGTAATCTTTAGTGTAAGTAGGATTATTATGACATCACTTTAACGCTGTGCTTATGAGGGTTACATAACACCTCTAGCGATAACGGACAGGTGAAATTTCTGTTACAGGAATTACTGATACTTAAGTTCTAATTATCAGCCAAACATGCTTTCAAAAATGCATCCTCGTAAGACTTTTTAACCATTCATTCCATCCTTAATTAGACCCTCAAACTAGTATGATGAAATCTCATCCGGCTTCGAAGAATACCAAATGAAACGGTGTGAACTTCCTGTCATACATTATGCATCGTTAATTGCGGGTAGCTGTTTGTAACTGCTGTCTTAATCGATTCCTCTAGAATTAATGGCTACTTGTCTCAGTCCAAGGCACTATTTTTTGGTTTGCTGCTTTTAGCTTTTTTCTCATTCTACCAAGTTACATACTGATGTAAAGTAGAAATCATTCTTTCCCCCCTTACTTGAATGTCAGTGATAAATTGATATTTCCAAAGGAGTAAGTCATATCTTTCAATAGACAGGGTCGTAACAAAACAGGATGCAGTGCTGTGTTTGATGATAGACACGAGAAAGGAAAACATCGATGAAAAGATACTTTTCAAATAAAACATGAACGTTAATGAGTAAAAACTGGCAGTCATCTCAGTCGAATCAAGGTCGCTTTTAAGTGTTATTTTCTGGCGATCTTTTTTTTAGTTTAATAGGTATTTTGACATTTCCTATAAGTCCAATACTTCAGAGGTTTGGCCGGCGATATAATGCATAACTAACTACGAAGCTCTCTTCTTTGTTTTGTTAAGTTTCCCACCAGGCTATGTTTTGTGACAGTCACTTTTGGTAACTTTTGCCATAGATGTGAAGCGAATCAGAATTTTGCATTTGGAAACTTAAGAAAGAAACCAGAAGTTACCAACTTAAGTCTTGGGAATGTGTGAGCGTTTTAGTTCATTCACGAAGCTTTTTGCTTCAAATGATACCCGCATTCTCGTACAAACATGTGGGATAAGTATGAAGTGACTAATGAATAAAGGGTCGATTTAAGGAAAGAATAATTTATTACTAGTATCGTTCAGCCATAAACTTAAAAGAAGAAAAAGCCTTAAAAAATTATTTGTTTTCTTTGTATAACAAAGCTACAGTTCTCATCAAATTTTGGAACCCGTGAACGCGAAATTCATAGGTTCGCGTGTTTTTATGAATAGACAAATTACCTTTCGTGTCGGTGGCCTGTAATCGAAAACCCATGGCAGGAAGAAGCTGCTAACATTAACAAAGTCACCAGTGCATGTGGCAAACTCATTCTGAAATCCAACGTATTGAAGAGTGATAAACGTAACCTCAAAATTTTACGATAGATCGAATCCGAGAGATTTCTAAGGATTTATAATATAGAAGTATTTAAGGTAAACATATCTTACTTGTTAGCTTCGATCCAATGACGAAAAAACTTGCGGTTAAGATTAAGAAGTCAGTTAAAATATTCACTTAAGTTCGGGAAAAACAATTTTTGACAGTACTAGTTCAGTCATAATATTTCTTTCTATAGGAGGTTTGGCAATAACTATTCGTAACCAAGAAATTTGCAAAACAATCAATTAGCCGCATTGTACCTAGCCAAATTGTCAAACTATCAATAATACATAGTCTCATAATATTTGCGCGCTCGATTTTTAAATACAAGTTCAGGCACACTTACAGACTGTAATATAATGCAACACGTGAGTTTTGATGTAGATTCTTAAGACATTTTGGTTATTCGTTCTATATGAATAAATTACTAAGCTCTCGATATTTTTTGGTTCGATAAAAATTATTATTTCATAGGGAGCCAAAATAAATGAATTCAGTCTACAGTTTTACCCGGCTGAAGCGCTGCCATGCAGCGAGCTCAGCAGGTCGATAATAAGAAATGACAGGTGGGTATCCTCGTAAACCTAACTCATACCTGTACTTTTTGTTCGAATGTTACTGAGAATTATCTAACACATAATGCAGAGCTAAACAACTAATATGAAGAAGGCAGAGGTGAAAAGTTTAAAATGAAAACGAGTGATTCCCTCTTTAGTGTTTGTTGTTTTAAAAGTAGTGAACTTGACGAAAAAGCAGGGCCTGCTGTTGCAAAGTTGAAATAGATGGATGATGTTTCATGTTGCGACTTCGACTTTTTCCTAATTCTTGATACGTTCAAAATCCTCCTCACTGTACAATTTATAGACATAAAAATTAAAACCTCTTGCACAGTGTGGACAAAAAACTATCCGTTTCCTTCGCCAACTGGTAAAGATGTTAGCTTCTTTGCAAAATTTTACCTCCCGTGACATGTTGTTTTGAGCAGTTGGAGGTCAGATTCGAACCAATTCGAAATTGAAAAGTTTCAAATAAGTTACTTTTATGTTACTTTATCTCAAAACTCGTCATTGCGCTTTTTTGAAGTCGATGGAAATGCGAAAGAGCATGATCATTTAATGTACCGATGAAAATTAAATTTTCCTAGAATTATTTTTAGAAAGCCCCATACAACATTAATTAGGTAAACAATATGCGTAGGTTTGCGACTACGGTTAGATTCCGCGGCGATGGGATAGGATCTCTTTTCCTCACAGCGTAATCATAATATCCAACTCTAGATAGCGTTTATATATCTAATACTTAATCAGCAGCCACTGCATGATATAACTGGAAGGATTTTTAGTCTGAAATATCGCAAACCAGCATTGAAAAATAATTCGAATTCATTGTTAGTAAACCAAAGAAATTAATGTTAATCCACAACGAAATGTTTTCCCAGCCGTTTACTAACTTTAAAACCGAAAACTTACTAAGATAATCAAATCATTTTGTGGCTAAAGTAGAGAACTAGTGAAAGCGAAAGACAAGCCTTTTCTAATCGGGAAGTTTCTCACGCATTTGCAAAAAGCGGGAGGGCCCCCTTCTGTAATTTCTGCTTGAACTTTTGCATCGCAAATGAGTCTTCAACCGTGCATTATTGTTGTTTTGACACTGGGGAGGCGTTAACATTGCAATTTCTGTCATTTGAATGAAGAAATGTTTGATATTTGCTAGTTCTCAGGATTTGCTAAAAGTAATTGATTTTCCGAATTTATGGAAATGAAAAGCTTGTATGGATGTACTCCAATTTACGATACAACCTTCGACTGTGCATTAGTGCTCATTTTGATGAAAGAGAGGTACCAATATTGTAATCTGTGTCAGTAAAACGAAGAACTGTTTCAGATAATGTCTTTGAGAAAACAAGACGTCAAGTTATTACAAGTTTGTGACAATAAAAGAATTCCCAGGGGTATCTGAGGTCCCCCTAGTAGAACCCACACTTCCCATCTTTTCTGGCATAAAAAAATCAGCTTACTTTGCTTTGCTCCAGTGACGAACAGAAAAGTCATTAGGAACTTCAATTAAACTGGTTATGTTCTATATTTATTAAACTTCACGTAACGAACCGTCAAAACTTTTCTTGGTTTCTTCCCTTACCTATCATTTAAAATAAAGACATTTTTTTGTGGTTTCGCAAAATTCCATGCAAAAACAATTCCTAACATCTCCAATGAACAAGCAAGTCTGGGCTCAGTTCCTACATGGGTAGTGGAAGCCATAACTTTTAAAAGAATTTTAAACAATGGTTAATTTTTGGGCACCTGATGTTCTTTATTCGTGTTTAAGTGAAAAGGATATCTAACCTACCGCTACAGGTTAGGTCCACAGTTTACTATGTTCCTGTCACAAGATGAGAATTGGCAAATGCAGACTTCATCCTGCGAGAGTCCTGTATGAAATGTGTACAATAAATTGAAAATCTTAAAAGGCAATGCATCGTTCGTATCTCCGTTTTTTTAACCACGTCCGTTGTAAATTTGTTTCACATTTGCTTCATGAAAGGTTATAGTAATAGCTGAAGTGCAGCCTCGGATCCACCCAGCTACAGAAACAGTTTAAAACGTTTAGCATGATCTAACTACGGTTTAAAAAGTAATTCACAGTAAAAGGAATACTCTTTCCTTCCAGACAGATGATGCTGAACTGAGGCAAAAGCTTTGATTGGGTACATTATGATGTCGGGGTATTGTTCTGTTCGTTTTCATAGATGAACCCCTAACGGGAGGAAATTGATCTCTATGATTTAACTCAAAAGTGTCACATCACTTATGTCACGGAGGTTTCAGATAAATTGGTTGCTTGTGTTGCTTCGTACTGTAACTAACGTAACTCTTTCCCCAAAAGTTTTACAAGAAGGGTGTTTTGAGTCTTCAAGAGTCAGGTCTTGTCAGGGGTTGATTTAGTTGTCATTTAATGTTCTTTTGCAGCGAGATAAGGGGAAGAGGTGACTTAGGAGAAAAGAGATGAAATGAGGGCGCAAATGATATTGGGCCTGCAAAGAAATGTTCGGTATACCTTGATCACAATTAATCGCCTGCATCTTAGTTGACCAGTTTATGTGCAGTTGTTTTACATGTCTCATTTTGTCTTAAATCATTATTTATTATCATAGTTAAACAAGCTTGACAACTGTTTATAAACGGGGCAATAACGACTTTCTCTGTGGTGATAATTCTAGACACACTGACGATATGTGCTTTAACTTGTCAAAATTGTTATACATTTTCCCTTGAGATTTGTTCAAGCTTTTACCAAACTTAATGTTAATCCTTATTTAGCAGCAAATCAGAATATATGAATGGGCCAGATAAAAAATGAATTATCCAACTCCCACACCCAGCCTAGTATGGTGTGTGTAATTGATTAGATATGAATGTGGCTAAGCACTGTTATTCAATGTGGCCACCTAGAGCTACTTAAAAGTTGAAATATCAGTGAGTAATGAATATTTTTAATACAATAAGAGTAACACGTTCTATAGTCTCCAACTAAGAGCACTCTTGTAAACACTATGAGCCTCTGAAATCTCTATGGTTACTCTCAATTGGCTTGATTTTTCCAGTATTTACCGAACTTCACTATAAACATGCCTTTGGGCGCATAGGGAATTCTCGAAACATTATATCAGTTGTTCTATAAGTTTCTGTGCTCGCATACCCAGTGAAGAATGGTACAATCCAAGATTAGAAGTGCGCCTAGGCTCCTGTTTTAAATCTGAGATCAAGATTATTCATTGAATTAACTTTTGAACTAATTATCACTTTTGCTTTACTGTGAGGATTGCCCTGCACAGTACTACGTTTCGTTTTGGGACTGTGTCCGATGTAAATAGAACTGTTTCAATATCTTCTAGTACCTTCTAGAAAGGTATTAATCGCCAACCCTGGTTTATCCCGCGATGGAAAAATGATTTTGATCACAGTCTCCTCTTTAACTGCAGATTTCATTTACTACATAAAGAGTACGTTTCACAAAATACTTGAAGTAATGGCTAAGAATTAGAAAATCTAGTAACTGATCAAGACGTATATCATATATATTACTTTAATACATTAATTACATGTATTAGGCTTGAACTACCTAGCATTCTGTCGGTTAGCAGGCAGTTGCATCTAAACCTATCCCTAAAAAAAAAAGCACAGATGACAAATTGCCAAAATGTGATGTCTAAAAGGACGATCATCTTTGGGGAAGCCTGATGAGTTAATAATTAAAACCTGACAAACAGCAAGTACACAGGGTATTTTTTCCGTATGCATTTCCTGATTATACAGCTGTTTCCCACACTGTCTCTTCCACTACCTCATCAGAGTTGATCTGAGGATCTGCTGTTGTTCCTTTAGCTGCTGAGTGGTCATTGTCAACATCTGTTTTGTTTTGCTCTGTGGAATATTAAAAAAATCCTGAACATATACGTGTTCATTGTCAACAAGCTTTCTGGGGATTTTTTTGCGTTGCCTTAAATTGGACATGATGCCGCGAGTAAGCCTAACATATTTCAAGAAAACATACTCATAATTACTTTCCCATTGCGTAATTAAAATAAAGGGAATGCATGAACATTTTTGGAACCTCAATAATCGAGTGAATGATGGAGATTCTAAAAATTATTTAAACCACACCTTTTCCAGTAGATTTGTCCTCATCCCCTACAAAATCTGTGTGTGGCTCCTCATATTCGGAATTTGCTGCAATATTTTTCTGTGACTTTTTATGACCTTCAGTCTTTGTTTCCGTTGGCAGTGCTTCTATTGTTTCAGAAAAATTATTAGGCTCAGTTTCGGGCTTTTCTGGCTTAGCAGTCTCCGCGTATTTTGTGATCAGCTGCTGTTGGAATTGGAGTTCAGTATGTTCTTCCCCTGGGTGCTCATGTTTGTGAACCTCCTCTTGCTCTTTTTCAGGTTCCTCTTCGGCTTCTTTGGCTGATTCTGTGTGGAACATGCAAATTTGAGAGATTTGTAAATGTTGTTAGGGAATGTGTGTACTGTTTCTTTCGATGGTAAGTAAACGAGTAAATTAAACAACATTATCAAAAGCATAAACTGTCAAAGTTGTACTGGTTCTTCCATGAAATGTATCCCCTCGGTAAGCCAGTAAAGCCAAACATCAGCGGATGTCTATACCTTTTCCAGCTTGGGTTCGACCACACTTTGTTATAAAGTAGTTGCACAGCTGTTGCCATTTTGCCTTGAGAACGTCTCGAACCTATATTTGAGAGAAAAAGGTTTCCTTACCTTGAATTAAGAAGTTTCAGTAAATGATAAAACCTAAAATCATGTCAGATCATGTTGGATGGCACTGTCTCATTCTATTGTAATGTGACAGAGCTTCGCTCCTTTCAACTGATTTCAATTTAAATAAGAGAATGTTTAACTTTTGCTTCACACATTTCACATAATTTGTAGAACTTTCTATTACTTGAAACTTTCATACTTTTTTTAAACGATTACACGAGCATATTGTTACGGCATCTAGGGTGATCATTGATGATTTTCTCATAAAATATCAAAACAATGGACATAATGTGCGATCCATGATATGTAACACGTATTCTTGGATACATACTTTGTTTAGAACTGTGGAAGATCTTGAGAAATGAATCTTCAATCCTTTTTAATTTCCCCCTTGTTGGTTTCGTCACTTTTTCATAGAGTTGGTCATTACATGCTGCCCTCTTTTGATTTATATTTAGTTGATGTCTTTTAGTGAAACATAACTTTCGCTAAGCGAGATGAAATAGAAAAACTTGCTTAAAAGTTAAAAGTTTCATTTACAATTTACGGTTATTTACAAATTTTAAAGTGATAATTACCTGTGTGGTGGACAAGGTGTATAGGATCGGATTTATGGCAGAGTTGAAGGGAAGAAAAAACACTGCAATCCACACTGCGAGATCTCCTCGTGTCCTGAACGACTTTTCCACGATGGACCTGAGTGCAATCACAATGATGGGCATCCAACAGATACAGTCGGTCAGGATGATGAAAAACACACGCTTGGCAAGAGCTGTCTCTCGCTGGGTTTTAGCTGACATCGACTGAACCTGACATCTGTTTATAACTATTGTAAGATAGGCCACAATGACAAAGGCAAGAAATGCCAAGTTCAACCCAACAAAGACAGCCACAGAATATTCCCAAGCAGGTGCCTTATCATTGGAGAGTTGAAGTGGGAGACAAACAACAGATCTGCCATAGAAGTGACGACCTTTAAAATACTGAATGCTAAAAGTAGGAAGGAAAGCAATTATGAAACCGATTATCCAGATAGCAAAGCACAATGTATGAGTGGCTTTGTTGGTTAGTCCATTAACACTGAAAGGGAACACAATATTTTTAAGCCTGTCAGCAGAGATTAGAGAAAGAAGCATCATTGACACCTCGCTTGACAACACAGCGATTGCACCAGATATCTGGCATGACAAACTCGTTCGCCAGTTGAAGTCATGTAAGTAGTATTTCCCTGCCCACATCGCATCCTTCCAACCTATAATGATTAGGTAAACACCCATTAAGCCATCAGATACCGCCAAGTGTATCAACATGATTGACTGTGCAATATTTTCCTCCCTGTAGACCATTCGCCACGTGATGACAAACACAGCTCCAACCAGAGACGTGACACTAATAACCCAAACACACTTCCTAGGAGCTCGATTTCTGAACATAGTCTCGCAACTGGCAAAGCGGTCGACGTAGGCAAAGTCGCAATCCGCGTCCACTTTCGTCAAATGGCAACACATCAGGCTTGTGTCTACAGTCCTACGGTTCATAGAAAGAGTTCAAATGAATCCCAGAGGAGAAAATGCGCTTAAGAAATGACAGGTACTCAAAGTGATAAAATATCGAGGGTAAATTCCGATGTGAAAATGAATTCCCATTACTTAACAGTTTCACCGGCAGGGAAATTGGAAAAGTGGGAACAATCAGAAAGTCTCCATATACGTCAATGGTAGGGGCAGCGAAGTTGTAAGCACTGCATAAGTAGGTGGAGAAGAATGAAAGTTCTAATAAACCGCTTCATCTAGGCACTAAGAGTATATTTGAATTGACTAACGTTGTTATTAATTCCTTCATGTTGGAGAAAAAACCTTTTGGTAATTCCCGCATCTCGTTGTAATGAAGGTACCTGCGCGTTAAAAGAAAGTGATACAGTTTAGCCAGCAATACCCGCTCATGTTCTAATGAAATGATCTCTTCAACCTAATGCATCAGTTACTGGGAGGTCGACTTTAGTTCGCTCGTTCTTTTTCGTCCAAACTCTCAATGATTACGAGAAACCAAAACGTTATAACCTTAGCAGAAGGAGACTGATGAGAGCTAAGTGAAAGGGAAAAGTGAGTATCAAACGCCTAGTATACACCCTAAATAAACTCAGTGCATACTCACAAGAATCGAATGTTTGATGCGACATCTTTGAATTGTTCCTTAGTTACTGCAGAGATTTTGTTTAGATGAAAGTCCCTGCAAAACGAGAAACCACTTAAAAGCGTAAATGTCATGCAAGAATTGTAAATTCCTTCGTAAACTGAGGTCATTTTAAGGTCATTTTGTTTCGTTTTGTTTCAAAGTTAAAGTTCAGTAATCGGAAGTCAACATAACATGCGCTTTTTGTGTCGTATATGATGATAAGACTTCGTCAGAACCAATACTGCGCAGGTTGTAAAGAAGTCCCTTAGATGGCTTAGCTCTTCTTTAAAG